GGACCTTCATCACATATTCCAGTCAAATTCTTAAGATTTTTCCAACTCCATGAGCGTTTTTGATCAAAGGAGATAGAAGAACTTGAAGTTCGTAGGAAAACTCAATACGGGTTACGTTTCAAAAAAGTTTAACTCGATTTGAGAAAAAAAACAATGTTTTATGTATTAGAAAATAATGTATTTTTTTTCGGTCTGAAACATTTGCAATTAAAAACTTGAACAGAAGATTAATTCTTGACAAAAAATCTCAAAACTTGTCGGCAGAAACACAACGCTGACAAAATACCAAAAATGTCCAAAAATGTTATTTTGCCCATTTGTCCAATCAAAATTTTATAACGCAAACGTTATAGCTTATTACATAAAGCGATTTTAGGTAGTGTACCATTTTTATCAACTACGTTATTATTGTGAAGTAAATAATCTTTTTAGCCAATGTTTAGTAAATCTTCAGGTTTGAAAATTGAATTAACTTTTAAACAATGATCAAAAATCATAAATTACAAAAGAATCAAATTATTACATTACATCTACTATGCAACTAATTTGTTAAATTCCTGTCAATATGTTGCTGCGTTGTCTATTTCATTTTTTTAGATTCCAATTTCCGATTGGAATAATGATGTTAAGCTCACAGTTCAGTTCACAAAAAACTGATGATAAGACGGACAAATATTCTATTTTTAAACATTAAATTCAGTATCAGCTCTCTGCTTCTAAACTCTTTTCGTGTCTTTGTCCTGACTTCTACCTAAAATGCAGAGCTTCTGTTTTTAACTTTGTTTTTATAGTTTCCATGAGATTGATTTTCGTTTTTGATTCTGATCTTAACCCATTCGTGCCACTCGACAGAATGCCGCTCAATTTTAACTAAAACGAAGCGTACGATTCAGGACGTTATTTGCAGTATGAGCCTCAAACGTTCTTCATGCAAATAAGTTCATTTGCATGGTTCGGCCGATTCCCTTTAACTGATTGATTGGTCCGATCCTGAGAAAAAAAAACAGACTGAATTGACTCTGTTGGAGACGGTTAGAAACACAAAAGACTCTACCTTGACGCTGGCCAAATTTTTTAGGGTTTAATTTTTTCCATTGTTATTTACTTTTCGGGCCATTGTTACATATGTATTTTTTTACTATACTAGTAGGTCTCGACGCTTGAAAGTAAGACAAACTTCTGCTCATTTATTTACCATATAAGTGTGTAAAGTCAAAATCAACAATTTATGTTTAACCGCGATATTGAGATGTGATTTAAAATTTACAAAGCATTAATCAGTTTTGATTGTTTCGCTTCCTTCTTGAATATACTACGATATAATAATTTCGAGCAGTTTCTTTGGTTCTGTACAACTTTTTAAGTTTTTGTAGGCAATTTTTTTGCTTCTAGAGTTTGACCAATCAAAGCCAAGCATTTCAACATTTCCCCTCAAAATACGCTTTCAAAGATAAACTTGCATATTTGCACCAAAGGAACACACGGAAATCCTTTTGATAAAATATCCGTTACCATTATTTTGGTAAGCTAAATTTTTTTAAATTTCATCTTACTAGGGCAAATTTGTTCTGGATATCGAAGCTGTCTCATGAGCCACAGTGATTGCTCCTTGGTTGGCATTGAACAAAACAATGATAATACTTTTATAGCTAACTCTCTCAAAAACCTGTTTCATGAACAAAAATTTCTGAGCCATCGACGATAAAACAATATACCCGATTAACATGTAGGTAATGACACTGAACGGGTTTTAGCTGTTCGTCGAGTTGAAGGTGAGTATGGTACGTTTAAGGTAATTAACAAACCAGAAACAGACTTTCTTATCTTAATGTCGCCGGTCAAGTCGGCATCACAGCACACAAAAAAAACCTAAGCCACTACCATGCCTTAAATAAATTTAGTAGTAAATCGTGCAATTTAAAAAGCGTAATGTTCTTTTTGCTGCATTAAAATCTCGCTTTGTTGGACTTTTGCATGCTTGACAAAGAAAAAACAATAGCAATTTTCAGCCTATTTGTTACAGATAAGACACTACCGCTCCCACTAACTTCTGAAAAAAGGAAACATCAGCTAGATCCTTTTCATCAGTTGCTTTTCTAGGGGCAGCCAGTGGTTCTTGAACTGGTTTGCAGTTTTGCTGATTCCACGGCTTAGATAAAAGTTCTAATCTTTATTGGTTTTGAGAACCTGTTTTATGTCTGTCACTAACATGAGCGCTCATACCTGAAAACCATTCTTGAACAACTTCTCCTCAACAACATCAAAAATTATCCTGTCATTAACGTAAACAGCACTTATTCTCATTCTTCTGGGTTGATAAAACAAACAGGTGCTCACAGAGCTTCTTAGGTAACTAAGTTCCAATAAAAGAGTTGCTAAAACTGATTCCAAGCTCGACTAGTTTATTTTAAAATGTAAGTACAATTATTTAGCTTGCATACAGAGCTTTCGCCAGACACAAAACCACTAAGTTTTTTTAAAGAAGATTCCTAATCTCAGGTAGAATTCATTTTTTTTACATCAATTTGTCGCAATTTTAGACTATATTGAGCTACAATCGCGAGTAATGAGCGAATAACTGGCATATTAATTGTAGGTGAAAAATTATCTTTATCTTTTTGACAATAAACTTGGTTAAACACTTAGCCAGTTAACGAGCCTTATAGCGTTCAATTGAACCATCAGTTTTATGTTTGGTATCAAAAATTTAATTGCTGGCACTTTCCTACGTCTTGATACAGCTGTAACAAGAAATGCTAAAACGGCAAAAAAACACTGCCCAAAAGACCCGCAGTGTGTTAGCTTCAAGAGTATGAAAGCTTGTGCGACTACCTTTTCCAGGAATGGGCCAACTTTTTCCAAAAAAAGAAACCGTCCTCAAAATATAAGGTCAAGCTCACAAGAGAGATATTTCGAACTGGAAAAAAAATAAATACTACTGTTTTAATACCTCTGAAGTTTTTGTTAAATAAGATAGCTTCAATTGTGAGAAAAGGAAATGCCTACCGTCAAAATGGCAGTACAAAAATTACGCGAGCGTACCCCCTTCTCCAAATTCTTTTGTGTTATTTGATTTTTTCGGAATTCTTATTCAGTATTTTTTCATTCTTTTACAAATTTTGTTTTCATTATCTAATTTTTTTTGTTTTTAAGAAATGAAAATTATTAGGAAACTTTGCTGGGACAGTAATTCTTTTTTAAAGATGAGCATAAAGCTCCTTAAACTCAAACTTTGAGTTTTTTGGATAATATAATGATAAATTGTTTCCAAGTGAAGTCATCACACGTACAGAATTACAAATGAAGAGTTTTTGTTACAAAAACATCACTTTGGAGAGTGCCGTGAAATTAAATTTAGCCTGTTATAGGCGTCTCAGAGCGAGAATCGAAATTGTTTTTTTTTCGGTGCCCTTGAAGTTAGGGTGAAAGAAAATCATGGCATGAGAGCTCAGCTTGATCACGAAAAAATAATAGCGAAAATTTTTTGAGTAAGGCCATTCAAAAATAGAAGGATTCGGAGGCTGAGTTATTTGAAGCAAAAACATTTAAAGAAGGTGAAATATTTTGCTGTCAAAAGGTTTAACCATTGAAATAAATGAAATGTTGAATGTCTTTAGTTTATCCGATGTGGTCTTGAATCTATCCGTTGATAACACCTGCTTGGTGGAAAGAAGTTTTGTCAGGCTTCGGTCGATTTTTGTTATTCAGTTTATATTCATATGAGTGGTTGGCAAAGATGTTCGATTTGTGAGTGATGCTTTTATATGATCTTGATTTTTTTTGACCAGAGTTTTTGGGTTTCCAGCTACTGCATGTTTTCTGAGGTGCAGATTTTTGTTTTGTTTTCTTCTCAGTCAAATTGAATGACTTTCCGACGCTTTGTTGCGGCACATGCAACTGCAAGGTTCCGTGTATTGATTCGTGCAATTCCTTGTCTGGTTCTTTTCTTCATTTCACATTTAAGTGTCAATTTTGAAAATTTATTTTAACGTTTTCACGATGTCATGAAATTTTGCACGGTGAACAAACTAACAACAGCGAACACATCTTTTTATTACATTGATTCGTAACTTCACGAGCTTAGCCATAATGATTTGTGAAACAACTGTTAAAATAGGAAATAGAAAAAGGTTGGAGAGAAGGAAAAGCCTAGAATTTAATATTAAATCTTCGTTGTACTCCTCGTCTGGATTACGTCTCAAATGGCATAATTCCCAAATGGCATAAAAATGAAAAATTTCCCAAATGGCATAAGTTTCATACAACAGTTGCATTGAAAAAATCGAGACCAATTTTTCCGCGAGTAATATGAGAAAATAAGTCAAAATGTCAATTCAAATGCTGATTGACATTTTATCGTGAAAAAGTTGTAGAATTTTTTATCAAAAGCAAGAAGCATAAACTTGCGGTTATTAATAAGCTTCTTGTGGTCAATTTTTTTGACAAATTTGTTGCGTAAATTTGTTTGGAAGCAATTAATTCCAAATTTTGTTCGCATGCTTTTGTTACTGACAAAATGTTAGAATAAGAAATTGATAGAAAACGTTTAAATTACAATGAAAACTTGAATTTTAGGCTCTTTTCCAGTTCCCCCCTTTCAAATTCAATTTTGAAAAGCTTATTTAACGTTGTTATAATGCAATGAAATTTGGCATGGTGAGCAAATCGACAACTGTGAACATATTTGTTCTTCATACTTTACAGCGTAACATCACGCATTTAGCCGTAATAACACGTAAATCAAACATAAAACTCGGTATTTTGAAGGGGGGAACTGGAAAAGAACCGAAATTTATGCCATTTGGGAAAAAATTCCATTTTTATGCCATTTGGTAATTATGCCATTTGGGAAGTTACCCTTCGTCTGCTATGTCATCTCCATTAGATCTATGGAAACAATAGTTAGCTAAGTTAAAGTTGCGATCAACTTTTTTTTTCAATGAGCCAGTGAATGTCTAGCCATTGTTTTGCTGTTTTGTTTTTGCTCCTCTGACTAAAAACATGATTCATATGTAAATTTAGAAATTGGAAAATAAGAAAAAAATTAATAGAAAATTTTTATAAATCATTTAGGGCATCAACTTATAATTGCGACGCCCTTTGTATGTTCGTCTTTATATCCCAGTTCCATATCTTTTAAGTTTTCAACCAACCCGTCAGTTTGAGGTTGGATCGAAACGTAGAGCCAGCCTAGAACCAGAAGCAACGCTCTGCCGATGACCAGATAGCTGAAAACGTCCAGACTTTCGTCACCAGTAAAATTATGCACTGATGAAGTTTCGGTCAAGTTTCTGTCGTAAGTATCCCCGTTTTCTGATTTGATGAATGTCAGGGAGTAGTTTCCGTACCACAGATTCGGAAAATTGTTGGAGAGCTGTATTTTGTCCTCGTATGTCGAAATGACACATGTCAGTCCCAGGGCTAGAAAATAGGCTATCGAAGCCCAAAGTCCAGCGTTGCATCTGACCAAAGTGCTGAAATAACCTCTCCTGGGTTTTTCCAGGTCCCATTTATCCAGGGTTGTCACCAAACACAACGTTGTGAGGAGGTAAAATGAGCACAAAAACGGGAGCCCCAAGTTCTCGTAAATCTTGACAAACTCTTCGTAACTGTGATCGATTAAAATCATTACAAAAATAGCCTGCATAACACCCAAACCCGCTGTTAGTCCGTACATAAACACTCCCAGTCCGTGGAAAAATTTTTGGGTCCAAACTGCAGCTTTGACTGTTGCGCCTTCAAATGTATCATTTTCTGCTTCATTTTCTTCGACATCTTCGAACGCCATTGTCTTACGAAGTCCGCTTGAGGTGAAACCAGACCTCGTTTCGACAAAAACTCGTTTAGATGACATCTTATTTGTATTCGGTTTCACGAGCTGTTCGTTTGACCGATCGGTTTCGGCAGCTTCAACTGGTTTTGCATTGGGCTCAATGAAATCATCCTGCAAGCCTTCGAACTCTTCGGGTAGCTCCCCCGAGAAATCGAACGTCTCATTGAGTCTCGAAGTCGGTTTTGATTTCCTTCGCCGCTTTTTCACTGCTGTTTTTGTTTCCGCCAGACCCGATTCATCGTTTCGTGTCTCGTCCTGAGTGTTTTCCAGGCCCTCGGCATTGCTTTCTATCGTTTCTGCTTTCGACTTTCGTTTTTTGCGCCTCGGTTTTACTGTCGTGTCTGCCTCTAATGTGGTTGTGCTATCTAACGTCGGCTGCTCGCGATTTTGTTCACGTACATCGCTCTGGTCTTCGCCGGCCTCGACAGCTGGTTTTGGCCTTCGTTTCTTTCGTCTAACTGGTTCAGTGGCTTCCGGTTCCAGAGGCAGAGGTGGCAAGGTTGGAGGCATGAGTAATTAATTTTTGACAAATTGTTCAGTTTTTTGGCACTAATTCTCAATTTTGTTTTTGTGTATCAATGTGCATAACCAGAAAAATTAGAAAAAAGAGCGGCCTAAACGTATGTTTTCGTAAGGAACGTTTTGTTGTAAAAAGCACGTGCAAAAAGATTAAATTATGAATGTATGTAAATAAAACAACATAATATCACTGATGATTATTTAAGAAAACGCATGATGTTTTCAAGTTAAAAATACGTAAATATTTTGCGTGCTAAAAACGTAAACATAATTTACCAAACATAGGCATAGGTAGCAAGGGTTCTTTTAACGCCCGCCCACCCCCTCGTATAACTTCGCAATAAAGCTGATTAACAAATGACATGGCAACTTAGATTTAAAAAATCTGCTGTTCGAATATGATCAATCTTTCACGCAGACATGTTTTATAGTAGTTTAGAATATCTAAGAAACCTCTAAATGCACTATCGAATTTTTAATTGCAGAAAAATCAAAAATAGGGAACTGGAAAAGAGCAGAAACAGGAAGTCTTTGCTCCCATGATTTCGCTTCATTGTCTCTTCTTCTTGTTGAACATCTTGGCCATGTCTTTGTCACTGCCCCCTCCCCCTCCTTCCAATGAGGATCTGCCCCCTCCCATCTCGCTGAACACGTCACTGTCCTCGTTGGAGGAGACCATGCTGGGGGCGATCGAGGGCTCCGAGCCAGACCCGAACGTGGTCAGCTTCTCCATCTCTCGTCTCATCTCCTCTCTCCTAGCTTCAACCTGTGAACAACTCAACAATCGTTAAAAATCAAACTCCTACTTTTACCATCGAAAATAGGCTCTAACTCGCCAAAAACATATCTGGAAAACTGAAGTGGAAAATTTCATTGCATTTTTACATTTAAAACATTTTTTTTTTTTATGAAACTCAAATGTGCGGTTTGCATTCTTCCTGCACTGGAGTTCCTTGGATAAAAATTGACTAAATTTGTGTTTTTTTGTCAATGTTAATAAAAGTGAAAAAAAAGTCAATTATAATCAAATTAAAAAACTTTGCTTTTAAACAAACTATACAAACGTATGGAAAGTTTGTGAAATAGATATAATCGATATAATATATCCACAGAAAACGATTAAATAAAAAAATTGAAAAAGAGAAACTCAATTTTTTTTTTCAAAATTGTTTTCACAATAAATTAAGAATTTTTTTCAAAACAAATTGTGCTAAGATAGCGCTAAATTAATTTTTGCCTCGGAAACGCTAAATACTTTTCGTTAAAGTAAAATTAATTTTTCTTAGCCTAAAATTTTCTGATAACGACGTCAATCGATTGCTTTACATGCTCAAAACTAGACTGAAACTCAAAAATTTCAAACTGGTTTTTCTCGACTCTAGGAAAATTTTAGAATTTTTTCTTAAATTCGAATCACAGTCAAAAGGGCTTTAATATGACATATCACTCGACTTATTCCGAGACCTATTAGGATTATTTGTGGTACCTGATTTTACGTGGAAAAAAATGAAACACACCCGAATCCAAAGTTACTCCTCATTTTCAATGATCGGAACAATGATTATAAAAACAGACCTTTTTCTCAAATGCCTCCATCTGCGCAGTGAGCGAGTGCTTCTTGTCATCAAAAGGCGTGGCTGCTCCACGACTCACCATCAGCATAGTGGGTGACATTTGACCTCTAGGCTTCTCGGGACCCAGAGAAGGTGTTGGCGAGATTGTTGGCTGCGGCGTGCGTGATTGCGGTGACATCATAGAATGATGCGGCGATGTGTGATGTGGAGGCGGATGATGCGATACATGACGTTGTGACGAGACCTGCAATGACTGTCGTGTCATCGGGATACCTCGCTCACTTCCGCTACTCGAGCTGTTGCTGTAACTTCGAGGCATTGAATCCCATTGTTGGCTCTCAAGAGTAGATCTTTGATGTCGATCGAGCGTCGGAATTCCTGTGCGTCGGTCCATCGAAGCCCATCTGTTGCTTTCCCGGGGATCCATCGAAGCCCATCTTTCAGATTCTGCATGGTGTCTGAATCTTGGATCCGACACATGGTAACCTGATCTTGGATCCGAGTCTCGATACCCGGTCTGGGAGGACCAAGAGACTTGGTCTATTGATACTTTGGGCGGAGTTCCGCTCGTTTTAGATCCGAACGAAGACTTTGCAGAAGGAGGCGAATGTCGAGTCTTGGACATGTAGGTTCCATAGTAGTAATAAGTGTCGTCTCCTAATTTGGACTGCGTGACTTCGTGAGTCCTGTCAAATGCAATTTCCGGTTCCTCTTCGTCTTGAAACAATGACGACATCACAGGTGCAACAGACGTTTTTTCGCCGTTCTCGAATTTTCGAACGTATTCAACCTCGCTTGGCTGTGAATTGATGGTCCCGATTCTGTAATCTTGAAAAGTGTCAGCCAACATTGCGAGGACGAAGTCTTTTTTGATTTTTGGATATCCACGCTCTTTGTAGTCTGTGAAAAGTCCAATTCCCTGAAACTCAGACAGAACATCGGAAAACTTTTTGTCCAGGAGTCAATTATTCGAGTTAATCAAATTTCCTGCTTTGAAAACAATCTCCATATTGAAAAAGATACAAAAAGTTTTGTTCAGTTTAAAAAAACAATAGCTGAAATGATGATATAGCCAAAATGAACTTCAAAACTCATTCTTATCAACAGATTGATCTTTTGCTCTTGAAGTTTTAGGACATGTCTCGACAACCTAAACAGCTTTTTTTGCATAATTTTCTATCACATAAAAGAAACCAAACTGAAATTCAAGTAATGAAAACAAGTTTTATACTGACTTTGCGATCTCTGCTGATGATGAGGGATCCTCCAGCTGTGTACTGGAAGTAGAGTCCAGTAGCCGTCATCTCCGGCTCATAGAGGTCAAACACGTCCACATGTGCCTGTGAGTCAGCAAATTCTTTTCAACTTTTCAAAATGGGGGGGTGGAGCTTTTAAAGAAAAAAGCGGCAGAAGATTGGAATCGCGTGCACTATTTACCAGCTTTTTTCAAAAAGGGCGGAGGTTTGCTAAAAGTTACAAAAATCTCAAATTCTTAACGGTTGAATAGGGTGACAGTTCTTAACTCTTTAAAAGGGTGACAGTTCGTTACCAAAGAGGGGGAATTAGTTAGAGAAATGCGAAGATTGCACGGCATAGTGAAGACTGACCTTGCATTTTGTGGTGCCCCTGATGATCAACTTCTGCTCGAAGGGGGGCTTGTGGGTGTGCAGTTTGAACACGAGGAACTTCACATACCCGTCTTCAATCCCAATCCTCACATTCTCCACTTTGCGTAGTCTGTAGTTCTCTTCTAACAGCGGATACTCTTCTTTCATCACGTTGAGTGAATATGTGAGTAAAATCAAATTTTAAAAAATACAATCAAAAATTTAGAAAAAATAAACTAGAAAGATTTTTTTTGTTCGTTAATTTGAGTGGGCAAAATTGACAGCAAAACGCAAGTAATTTTGACTTTCAAATAGACTAAAAACCCACGATCTGTAAAAAAGTTGACTTTAATGTAAGAGTGATAAAATTGAAAAATAACGCACCGAAACTTAATTCAGCGCCGATGAGTTAAATTATCGTTTGGGAAGAAAAACAATGAGAATTGTTAACATCAAGCAATCATTATTTCCATCATGCATCGGATTAACGCGGCTATTCCTACCAGCCATTCTACCGCAAAAGTTCTCCTCCTGGGTTACGATTTACAACATCGAATTTGCGCCAATCAACTCGGCGCCATATTACGCCGACTCAAAGTTTGAAATGCCCTATTATGCCGACGTCATTACGCCGAAGCTCTTCCGTTATGAAGAGGTTAATTAAAAATTTAGTCTCGATGCCGTCTATATTTTTGTGAAGTTTTCTTTCAAATAATTTTTTTTTAAATAATACCATCAAATGAGGGACTTTTCATTTAAAAACAGACAGTATTGATAATTTGTTAAAAAAATCAATTTTGAGTTTAACTACTGAAAAAAAAAGAAATTATTTAAGACTTTTTTCCGTTTTTCTGACTTAAATATGAATTTGACTCTTTCCGCATGTTGAAAGTAGCAATTTTTGACCAAAATTGAATTGCAACAGATTGTTGTTCCGACCATTGAAAATGGGGAGGAACTTTGTATTCGGGTGTCTTTCAGTATATTTTTTTCGTTTTTTTTGTTTTCCACGCAAAATCAAGTACCACAATTAATCATTGGAATGGATCGAATGATTTTTCATAAAAAAGCTTTTTCAATCGTAACTCGATTTAAATTGAAAAATTTTGAAAAAAAAATTCTCCGTGTTGAGAGAAACTGGTTTGCAATGTTTAAATTTTTGTCTAAATTCAATCTGATTAATAGCTGGTCACCGTGTAGGCTTACAAAAGCTTATTAAACTCAAATAAAGGTAGCTTTTGAATTTTTTAGCGCAATTTCGGTAATCAAAAATTAGAAAAATCAAAACATTTCGACAAAAACGTTTGAAAAAAGTTTCGAAATTTTTCAAATGTTTTTAAGACTTTTTTTTTCATTTTTCTAGTTATTTTTCTTCAAATTTTTCTGCTAATTTCCAATTCAGTTTTGTTAGTATGACTTTCAAATATTTCTATGTTTAATTCTTTTGTTCAGATCTTTCCATAACAACATGCAGAAAAAAACGAAACCAATTAAAAAAATTTTTTTTTGTAATTTTTTAAGACTGGTTGGGAATTCTGTGCTACTTGCACAGTAACCAGCTATTTTTGTTTCATAAGCCATTAGAAATCTACCTCAGATAGAAGTTATTGTTTTACTATTTAACAAAAAGTATACAGCTTTGAGTTTTTTTTTCACTTTACAAGTTCAGAATTGTATAACCTGCAAAAGTAGGCAAAAATGAAAAAAGAAGGTTCGAAACAAAGCTTTAGAAATAAATACTTTTAAGCTTGGGGAAAAGTTTTTTCAAATTCAAATTGCAGTTTTTTAACTAAAGAAAAACCAATGAGGTTGATATACACTTGAGAACAAAAGAAGGTTAAACTTACAACTTTCATTTAAGGTAACTTATGATTTTGTTTCAATTTTATTTTTAAGTTAGTTGAGTCATTTTTTTTCCATATCGGCCATTCATTATCAAATTTAGTTTACTGCGATATCAATGTGGTTTATCTAAATTGTTTTTATTAAACATTGTGACAAGACTCAATATCTTTATTTATAGCAGAGTTTTGATAAAATAGCAGAGTTTTTTGTTGGCTCAGAATTTAACTCGTTAAATTAAAAGTTCTGATCATGATTGTATCTTTTTTTCAAATTTTGCAATAAATGACTACTTGTTTTTCAATTTGAGGCAAAATTTGAAAAAAATCAGCCAACCAGATTGCAAAATTCAAGTTTTGTTTAAAAAGAAACAAAGTAAATTTTTAATTCGGATTCGTTCCATTTGCAATAAATCGATTTAAAAAAATCAGGTTGGTTGATAGGGATTGTCAGAAAAATAAAAATTTGATTCTGAGCAATAGTAAATGATTCGCTACTTTAATATATACCAAAGAAAGTGTTTTCTTTTAGGCCGATTGATAGTGTTGATTCATTAAAATTGAGCATTTTCGGAACATACCGAATAAACAACGCGAACTATTAAGTCTGCGAATCTTAAGTTTAAAAGTGTTCTTTATTTCCAGATTTGCTATATTTCTATTTGAAACATAATTTTTTCAAAAATAAAACCATGTTTTTTATTCGAATATGTTCTAATTGCAAAAAATCAATAAAATTTTTGAATTTTAGGCTAGCTAATTGGTCGTAGTAATTTCGTGCGACTCTTTTACACATTGACACTGTTCAAAGTTTATAGATTTTCAGTAATTTCTTTTCCCAAAAACTATTCGAATTGAATTAAGGGACAGTCGTAACAATCAGGGTTTTGCCCTGATATACGAGCAGTTTTGTTCTGATGAGAATTTTACTATATAGGTAAAAAATGGAACACAGAAAGCGGCATGTGAGGCCGAGGGATAAAGAGCCGATAAATTGATTGTATACTGCTAAAAAAATCCAGTATTATCAGATTATATCCATTAAACTCACAACGGGTTGCAAATTATTTACGAGCTGACAATCAATTCAGAAAAATAAAGGTGCTTTAAAATTTTTAGACGTGAAATGCACTTCAGGGTTTCGAATGGATCTACTTAAAATTTCCACCCTTTTTAAGAAAAAAGTAAGCAGATCAAAATGGTCGATTTTTTGACCAATCAGAATGCAGCAAAATTAAACTTCTCAATAGAAAGCTCAGCGCTCTTATACTCTATTTATTTATAGGGGTGGAGATTCTTAAGTAGGTACCATACAGGGGCAGATTGTTAAGTAGATCCATTCGACCCGCTGCCGACCCAAAGGGTCCCCCTTTGTACTATTTTGAGATATTCATTTTTGGTTGACGGACCCTAAAATTTTTCTAGAGGCTTCTCGGCCCCAATATATTCTAAATTTGGGGAGGGGGGAGCGCGCGCCACAAAGCGCAATTTTTTGGTCAAAATTTTCCTTAAAGTGCCTAAAAACGCTTTTTTGGCCTGTTTTTTTTTTCAAAAATTTCCCTACGGCGCAGAAAATTTGGTTAAAACGGGGGTCTTTATAGTGACTTGGAAGAGCTCCAAAAATCAGTTTGGTCCACCTAAAAGAAGTCAACTTTTTTTTGAAAAACTGCCCCCCCCCCCCTCGAGAAAAGCGTAGATCCGTCCCTGTCCGGAGCAAAAATTGTTGAAAAGTTTGGTATTTATAGAGTTTTGTGTGTGCTCAAAAAGTCAACTTGATCGACTACGAAAATTGACACACTCTTCGAACGTTTTTTCTTTCAAGAATTCGCCCTTACCTCCTCGTGAAAATCCTAGATCAGCCCCCTGAACGCACTGAAAATTTTCGAGGACAAAGATTTTTGCCCTTTAATTTGTGAGATTTTTTAAGATTTCATTATAAATGCAGGAAAATAGGCATCGGGATGTCATGGAGCATCTTTTCATTGAATGAGAAATTCCGTCTAGACATGTAATTCCTGCGTCTGCTCTAAATCAAAAACGCATTCTTTTCCAATTAAAAAACATAAAATAGATTCCAAATTTTGAATTACTGAACTCTACAATGCAAAACATATAAATGGTTTTGATTTATTAATATCAACAGAAACAGGTTATTGAACGAATAGACGATAATTTTAATGCTCCATCTTGAACAAATGCGCTCTATCCCGGTCCCATCAAGTTTACGTGAGAGGTGCGAACTGCGTTGTCATACTTTTCTCCGAACTCTTTTTGGATCTCCTCAAATTGACGCCGTGCCTCAGACGACTTGTTTGACGTCGGAGCCGAAGCTGGCGTCGCGTTACTCGGGTTTCGTTTCTTCAGAATCGAAGTCGGCTGCGACCTATTTCCGGGTTGGTTCGTATGTGTCGGACTGTTCGACGCTACGCTACTCGGGTCCTCTGAAAGGTGACTCATAAGTTGATTTTGATTGACAGGCGACTCAATACTTCGGCCACTGCCTCCGCCGAGTTCGGTGTACGAAGGGGCCCCATAAGTGCTCGGGTTCTGTTCGGTGGTGTGTGTCGGGGAAGACACCCTAGAGCTGGGCTGATTTGGGACGGGTGACATTAGGCCTCGGTGGGTGGGCTGAGAGGGGTAATTAAGGGCACCCATTTTGGGCTGCTGTGAGTTGGAATGGTTCGGCATTTTGGGTGTGCTAAGAGGAATAGCCTGGGGTCCGTTTCCAGCATACGGAAAGCCTGAAAAAATCAAAACAAATTAGAAGCACAAAACAGAAATTCTTTGAATAAAAAAAAGTTTAGTACTGAATTGATCTAGAAAGTTCTGATTGATTTACTACATATCCAAATTCAAGTTTTATTCGGATTTTTTGAGTTCAGTAAACTACGACGTCTTTAGGACGGAATTGAAAGTGCTGCCCTACTGGTGTAGCTTTGAGAAAAAGATGCTTATAGTGCTTGAAAATTCTAGAATATTCGAACTGTACCTTGAGAAGATTGAGGATAAGGCGGTGAATATTGTTGCGGTTGTTGTTGTGCTTGTTGTTGTTGTTGATAGTGATCCAGGGTATTATCGTGGCAATCGGAGTCGGTGGTCCGATGACTGCTGGCTAGTGCAGGAGTATTGCTATGGAGAGAAGAAGAGTGATTATGTAATAGTGGCTGATTGTTGCGTAATGTCGGGTTCGTGCCGCCCAGAGGAGCTGTTCTCTGCTGCTGGGTGAACTTGGCGGCTTTTTCGAAGTCCACGTAAGGACTCGGGGATGTCATGTTGTCACGACTGAAATGATTTCACAATGACTAGCGATTTATTAAATGATCCAAGTAAATCTTTGCAAACTTTTGTTCCGACCATTTGAAAAATGGGGAGCAACTTTGTATTGAGGTGTTTTAGTTTTTTTTTGTTTTCCACTCATCGGACTGGGTTGAGTGATATATCATAATAAAGCCCCTTGAATTGTGATTCAAACCACATTTAAAAATTTCCAAAAAATGTTCCCAGTGTTGAGAAAAACCGGTTTGAAATTTTTGATTTTTCGTCCTAATTCGATTAGCGAACAAAGCAAGCGAGCAGGCTTACAACAGCTGAATTATGCCTAATTTAAGTCTTTATAGCGAACTTTTAATCAGTATTACTAGTTTTTGGAGTTTTTAGCATCATTTCAGGAGCCAAATACTTCAAAAAATTCAAAATTTTTTGTTCATTTTTTTAAGTTTTTCTAGTATTTTTTCTTCAAAATTTTTGTCCATTTTGCCTTTGTTACTATGACTGTTTAATATTCTAATATGCAAAAACTATATTCTTACGTCAGATCCTCTTATCACACTACGCAGAAAAAACTGCACTAATTTGAAAAAAAAAACATTATAAACCGTAGTTTTCTAAAGACAGTGGTCGGAACATTCTGTGCTGCTTGCACAGTTACCGTCTATCCTTGTTTATCATATGTCTTCGAAGTTGAAAATTCTCGTTAAAAAACTTGTTTGGAGAAAACTATGCTTGCTTCAATCTGCTTTCCATTTGTTTTTTTTCTCCAAGCTCGATCTCAAATAGTGAAATAGATGCGATGACCAAGAAACTATTTAAATGTTGAGATAACGGTGCCAGGTCAAGTTTTTATTATTATTATTTTCCAGTTTTAGAAAATTTGCAACACGATGAAAAAGAACTAAGAAAGTTTTGAGACTCACTTGATTTGCATCTCGTGCATAAGGTGCACATCTCCACACACGTGGTCCACGTCCTTTAACTTCACCGCAGACTTATTCTGTTGAAACTAAAAATGATTTGCTTCACTTCAAACATGAAAAAAATGGTGTCTCGTTTTTCCTGATACTTTAATTAAAGAAAAAACTAAGATTTGTCCAATGCTAAGCTTTTTCTACTTTCGCCTACATTCAATTAATGTCTTTTTTACATGTTATTAAAATGAAAAAGCCATTAAGAAAAGTTCTGCAAGGATCTTTTTATGAATTAATCCCAGAACTTTTCTAAATTTTGGCATGACACGAAAACAAAATGATTTTTCAAAAATTTCATAGATTTAACACTAATAGGCAGCTAGGCATATAACTGGCCTTTTTGGTGCTCTTCCAATCATTATAGGCATTTTTTAAGTTAACTTTTGTAAATTATGGACACATTGCTTCTATCTTGAAAACCAGTCATAATGTTGTTTTCTAAACCAATCAAATCATCTTGATCCAACTTACTCTTTGAGTTAAGGTGTCACTGGCCCCACAAGAGCATTGATGTTGATAGTGTGGGGTTGAAGGTGTCATATAGCCCCCCTTCAGCTGGTGGGGGGAGGACGGAGCATGTGCAGGTGGAGTTCCTCCCCCTGCTGCCCCGGAAGCGGACACTATGGACCCATTTCTCTTCAGGTCTTCTTTGAACACCATGCGAGAGAACTGTCTCTGTTTGACAAGATTGAAGACATCTTTGAACACTTCTTTAGTTTTCACGTGCTCTTCTTTGTTCACCGCACGATGAAGTCTCTGAAAATGAGAACAGAACAAGGTGAATTTTCTAGTGTTACATTTGCTGCCAAAAAAGCCTGTTCTTATCAAATCTAGTTTACACGGTTTGATGTTTTTTTAAGTAAAATCCCAGATTAAATTGACAAAAAATGCGTTTCCATAAAAAGTCGAACCACTTCTATTTAGGAAAACCCCATCTATTGTAAGCTTTATATTTTTCTATTTTCTTGAGTCGTAGTATTAAATGCTTTAAAAAATTTAAAACTATGTTTCAAATTTGTTTGTATTAATTTGTTGCAACATGCAGTAGAAGTGAGGCAGTACCTGACTGTAGACCATGAGGTCTTTCCACTTGCTGCTGTGTGGCTTGTTGCGCATGTATGGCACCAGCCATCTGTAGGTGAATATCTCGAACAGCAGACAGATCACTGCGAATATCACCCCACAGCTGAAGAAGAAGAACAGCCCCATCGCGTGGTTCAGACCTGAAAAACCACAGAAAAACTCATTGAGTGTCATTCGCTTGAAGTCCAATGAGGTAAATTTCAAATTTTAGAGGGCAAATTGCAATCGACTGTTGCGCGAGATGAAAATTCAGGGGTATAGATTTTCAAAATAATTTTTGTAAAAAATTTCTGAACTTGTCAAAAAACAGGCGAAAAATTGCTGGGTATAAGATAACGCAAATGGGCAAACCACTTCAAAAATAATGAGCGCGCACTAGTCTTTCTTAAATAAATTGTTTCTTTTTTGATATAACCAAAAAGTCAAAGTTTTAAGTTGCATTTATGTTCCCTTCGGCTGCCTTACTGTCAAAGATGACGCCCTTAGTTAAATTTTATGTAAAGGACTATCTGTTTATCATTTTACAACTCAAAACTTTTTTTAAAAAACATGATGTTTGAAAAAAAAATTCAACCGTCTTGCAAAAGATGTCCAAGAACTTTGTAAATGCAATATCTATGCCTAGAAAGGCTGCATGGCCTTTCATTAATCCTCCGCGAATCAAAGGAACACAAATAATTATTATTAATATCTAATTAGCATGTGAAACGCATTGAATAACTGACCTAGCCCCTCTTGTTTGTTCCTGGTCGGTTTGAAACACCCTTTTGACCCAGCCCCTCGAAACCACTTCTCCGTCAACTCTTCCATAAACGTCCCACTGGTGTAGTTCTGAATCAGAGTGGATATAGCTTTGTTCAGGTGACTCCCCTTGGGTAGTCCAATCCCGTAACCCTCCCCTCCGAAGGGAGCCCCGACAGTTAGGAGTCGACAGTCCGAATCGGTCGCTACTTCGTATGTGATAATTGGGCTGTCGTAGATGAAGGCCTGAATTAGGTCGCTCCTGAAACAGTCAAAGTTGTTCTGGAATTACTTTTTAGGAAGAAATCAGGGGCAAATTTAGGGGGGGGAGAGGTTGGGTGAGGACACCTTTTCTCAGGGGTTCGACCCCCTACGGACCCAAAGTTTCCGCACTTTGTACTATTTTGAGATATACATTTTTGGCTCGCGGACCCTAAATTTTTTCTAAAGGCGCCTTAGGCGGCAATATTTACTAATCTTTAAAGGGAAGCTCGCGCCAAAATTTGATCAAAGATTTCCAAAAAGTGCCTAAAAACGCCTTTGTTGGCCTGTTTTTTTTTCGAATATTTGCCTGCGGCGCAGAAAATTTTTACCAAAACAGGTTCTTTTTACTGCTCTGGGAATGCTCGGAAAATCAAATTAGTCAACCTAAAAAAAGGTCGGCGAAATTAAAAAAAAATTTTGAAGAAATTTTAATTATTTTTCAGTTCTACATTGTGAAGTGCCAGAAAACTGATTTAAAATTTGAACGCCAATGTGCACTTATTTTGGGAGATAGAGAGGGGAGGGGCAAAAAAAACTTTCTTAAGCGTTTTTAGAGCTGGTATAATCTAGTAATGCTAGCCTCTCAGTAGCAAAATAAAAATTGAGACGAAGCATTTTTCTTATTTTAGTCTGGCATTTTTTTTTATTTCAGTGAAGAGAGGTTTTCCAATTAGGAAGCATGATATTGACAAATATCCCGTATCTATTTAAAAATAGTCATTCACAGACTAGAATTGACAGCAAGTGTGGGCGGCAGGCTTAGAAAAAAGAAAAAGAGCAAGAGGAAGACATTATTTATTAATAAAGGAGACTTTGAAAGTGAGGTTTCATTGATTAAGACGCGATAAGAAAGGGAATAAAATGAAAAAATGTACTATGTTGGGTTAAGCATGGCGTCTGTTAATATCAAAAGATTGGATTTTCCAAGGAAAATTTTTTTGATCATTATGAAGCATAAAATTTTTGCACAATTTGATACCATTATTAGAAAAGCCCACGAAAAAATAGCGAGTTAGAACTATAATGAGCGATTCATGGCTTAATAAGTACGAATATTGAGAGCAACTAAAAAAACACACAATTAAATTAAAAGTCAAGACAAAAAGAACAGAAAGAAAAATCTGTATTCTAAATAAGAGCTTATTTGAATAATTTTGTGTATATTTTGAAATTGTTCATAAATTTTTTTCTATCAAATTCAACGAAATTTTTTAAAAACTTAATCAAAAGACTATTTAGAAGAATAAATAGACATTAGCGCTTTAAAAAATCTATTAGCGAGACAAAAACTTGAATAACCCCCAACTACAGCACCAACGTATCCATATATTGTGAGGGGTAAAATGATTTTGCTGCTTAAATTTTGCTAGCATTTTTCTAAAAGTTCTTAACTTTGCAATATTTCAACTTAAATTATTTCTGTTTCATATTTTTAAAGATTGGGCAACTTGAGCCGGCTTTTTTTTAAATATTGACAAATCCGCACACAGAAAACTCGCCAAGCACAGTTCAGCCACAGACAAACTCTTGTATTACTCGGCACTTGAGTTCATTTTTAGCCGAACAATTTGGGATTAAATTGTCTCTATTTTTTGGCTGAATTGTGCGAAGTTCAAATCGGCCGAATCTTTGCCGAGTTGTCAGGATGCTTTCCAATTTCCAGCCATTTTTCTGACCAATTTGTTTTATCGAAAAGAGGCATTCAAAATGTTACATATTTGACGATAACGATTGAACATTCTAGCATGACATTAACATAAATCCAGATCAATTTGAAAAATGCCATTCACATGCTGATAAATAGACGACAAGTGTGTAAATGTGAGACAAGAAGAAAAGAAAAAGAATCAGAAAATACATGTTTTATTAATAACTGACACTATGAACACGGACGTTTTCTCGATAAAGACACCATCGGAAAAAAATCAACATTTTTTTTACGCCAGAACGAGTTTGGCATAAAATAGTAAAAACAAATGATTTTTTTTTTCAAAAATTATCAGAGTAAATCAGATTTTTTTTTGCAAAACAGCGTACCATTAAAATAATTTACCGGTATTTTCAAAATAAAAATCAGACCTGCAAAATACGGGTGTTTCAAAATTGCTTTAAAGGAAATTTGGAACATTTAAGGCAAGATATGTTTTAACTGAAGCGTAGCTTAAGCGGCAAAAATTTGGCTCAAAGCATTTTGATTTAGGTTGCGGAACAAGGCTAAATGGTCCCAATAACGCTTTCAAGGGGAGAAATTTTCACGTTTGTTTCTATTATAGCGTTAGCGTTAGATTGCTGGGTATTTACCAATAACAATTTTTGAAACAGATGACAACAATAATTTTTTTTCATTTGAATTTTCTATAGTATCGTTTTTTTTTTTTACAAAAATTGCTCCTTATACTCTAAGAGACAACCAAACCATTCAAAATTTTGTCTCCTCACGAGCAATTTTGTATTACTTTAAATCCCACGGTTGTTCATTATATTCGCACAAACTTTACATTACCTTTATTACTACTGATGAAAACATTTATGTTTCATTTATATTAATGAGACTAAAGAATAGCAAAAAAATTATATCAATTTTGAGACTTTGAAAATCGGCCGGAAATTTTTACGCTGGGGAATCAAAATCTGGAATTTGAACAAAAAAATTGAGAAATCGTTGATAAACTCGGATAGAAGATGGCGCGTTTTTCATTGCTCCGACTTCCGGAGAAAATGATAAGACATTCTACATGGCGTAACCTTTTTTCCAGAAAACCTCAAATTTTTGAATTAACAGTTATTGCTGGAATTTTGTATAGTCCGGAAGATTTCAATACTTTGAGCTCAAAATTAAGAGTTTTTTTTGCTTGTATCTCTTATGTACAGTTGTTGAAGATCTATTAGTTCATAGCGTAAGCAGCGAATTTATACGTTTCTCAAATCACTTGAACTTGAATCGAGGTAAAATAATGATCCAAGAAGTGGTTGTTAGACGCTGCATTTATCATTTTGTTTTTGTTCCGACTTTCGATACGAAAGTAACGGAATATTTGTGCTCGGGTGGGTTTTTTTTTTCTTCAGACAAATTTCGACTTTTTAACTAGCCATTTTTGACGGAATTTTCTTATATCACTCGAAAGGTATTGTTGTACTGAGCTTAAATTTGAAAAGATATTTCACCTGTGATCATTTTTCGTTAAGTTATGAGGGTTTAAAGACTGCCATTTTGGCCATTTTGACCAATTTGGGACAATTAACGCGCGATATAATTCGCGCTATTAACGCGTAAGCGGAGATTTAATCCGTCTTATAAATCGTTCCAAATTGGTTGAACGAAGCTTATTTGCCATAATTGATTTGAGGAACGAAATCTATCTTTTTGTACTTTATATGGCGTGTGGGGGGATGATTTTCATTAAAAAATTTCAAACTTTAGAAAAAAAATTTCATTTTTATTTATTTCAATTAAACTTTTAATGTTATTACTGCTGCTCCATAAACCTTAAAAGGCAGTCGGAACATTCAGGGCTTCGCCCTGATACGAGCAGTCTTGTTGACATTGCGTGTGGTGGAATGTTTTTCTGTTTTTAAAAAAAGTAATTGTCACCATTTTTTGTCAAATATTAAATTAGAAACGCTTCAAGGGGCCGTCAAAAGATACAGGGCTTTGCCTTTATACGAGTCTTCTTGATTAGATTGCCTCCTGATTTACTTGAAAGAAATCATTATAGACATTTTAGTTCATTAGAAGTTCTAACTAATTCAAAAAAATTCCTTTCATTTTGCTTTTATTTCGAAAAGCAGGTTAAAATTATCATTGCTCCGATTTTCACAGAAACAGAGAAATATTTAAGCGATCGCTGGTTTCTTCTGATACTCAGACCAATTTTACAAAAACTGTTTTGGCATCTTGGGAATTGAGCCTAGAGTTTTTGGATCCTCAGGCAGTTCTGCAAACAATAGCCTGACTCCGATTAGAAACTTCTCAGTTAATCAATACAAGCTTGAAATTGCGATTTTTTTATGCGGGCAAATTTTATCGGCACTGATAATCGTTGCAAATCATTTTGACAGCAAACTGAATTGGTCATATTAGTTCCGTATACGACTCAAAATTTAGCACGTAATGTTCAATATTGACAGTTCAAAATATATAATTTACCAAAATTATCTTTACAAAAAGTATTCGAGAACAGTTAAAGAGCAGTCGGAAGATTCAGGATTTTTCCGTGATATGCGATTATTCTTGTTTCATATAGCGCGGAAAAAGAACTTGCACAACATCATTTTATTTTTGTCAATTTGATTTGGTAGCGCTGTTTGGAAAAAGTATCGGGCCATTTAATCTTTTCATATATTTGACGTCACTCGCAGCAGTTGAGCGTGTGGAGAAAAAAGGAAATGTCCCGTAAACCGCAAAAAAAAATCCTTGTGACGTTCGAAGAAAAGACCCCAATTTTTTTTTGTTCTAACAGGAAAATTTTACACATAAATTACTTTCTAGCCCTTTAAGTCAGGAAGTGATTGCGCAATTAACGCCGCCTACTTAGTCGTTTAACAAAAGAGTTTGGTACTAGGAGAGCAAGAGAAAATGAGATTGACAAACCATTTTTTGATTTACTCAGAAACGAATCCCGTCGCTTAAATTCAAAATCGAATCTGAGACTATAAGGGAAATGTTTGTGTAGTGACGTGGTCTTATAGTCATGCAGAGATAGTATTTAGATTGCTTAGATCTCGGTCTTTTTTCAGCAAAAATGTATGAAAAAATAGTGCTGTCTCGGGGCAAAAAATGCACTTTTGCTTCTGGCTTCTGGGCGCTACTACCCCCTCCCCCAGAAAGAATTGGAAATTAATTTTAGGGTGATTTGGCCAAAAATCGTCGTCCTAAAACAGATCCAAACGGGGTACCCTTTGGGTAGCGAAGGGGTCAAACTCTGAGATAGGAACACGTTGACTTCTCTGCCCCCGCCCCGCTCCCAACCCCAATTCTTCACTGGAAGTTTTTTTTTTAAAAGTAGGTGTAAACTTTTGTGCATACTTACTTAACGCTTGCAATGCTACTCTCGATGGAGTCTGTGTTGAAGTCCTTCATGAACTTGTGCATTCGGTCCCAATTAAGTTTGATGTAGTTGTCAGTGCTGCTCCCATTCACTGTCGCAAACTTGGTCATCCCGTCAGGAGTTTGGAACTGAAGCAGGATATCAGAGTGAGTTCAATTTAATAGAAAAAGTTAAATCCAGGAGTGTTTTTAGGAGGGGAGAGCTCAGGAACTAGTCAACATTAAATCCAAAATTTCAATTTTCGGTTCGATACTATTTCACGACATAACTTAAAGCAACCATTGATCCGCGAAGAAAACGACCAACTAACCAACTTACAAATTGTTCAGCTCATTTTTTGGTAGCAGCCACTATCATTACAAGAAAAAATATTGAATGAAAACATATGATTTGTCTGTATTGTTTTAAATCAAGTTATTGCCTATTCGTCTGCCTAGGGGTGGATTTAGAAGGCGTCGAATCTGGGATTCGACCTACTGACAACTCGAAGGGTCTCCATTTAGGAACTATTTTACGGCAACCATTTTTGTCGATCAAACTTAATTTTTTTAAAAACCACCTAACTTTTTGGCAAGCCAGGGTCTTTGTAGGCTTAATATTTTCTTTATAGTTAAGGAGAGCTCGGAGACCTTTTTAGTCCCAAAAAAGTTGGAAAGAAATTTCGTCAAGAAATTTTATCCCTGCATCCAAGCTAATTTTTGGTAAAATAGGAAATAATGTAGAAAGTTGGTTTTAACACAAGTTTTTTTTGTTGTAAAATTGAGTTAAAGTTTGTGCCATTTTTTCAAACTGGTCAATAGACTTACACGTGTTGCATGGACACTTCCATGCACTTTATGAAATTCACACGTTAATAAAAGATGTTTATGAATACTTGGAACCATAAGAGTGAAGTTCTCGAAGTCATGATGTCGCATGATTTAAGTACGATTTTGAAGAAAAAACATCTAATGCTGATAGAAATTTATTTGGTAGCAAACAACATGCCACGAGGTCATTTAATTTTTATAAATGAAAATCTCTGACTTTACTTTTGGTTACAATTCAAAAATATGTTTTGACTCATTGTAACTGCCGATAATTAGGCCATAATTTTTTAATTGCAAGTTTTCCATCCAAGGGATGAAAATTGCTAATGATCACGGTTGTTTCGTACCTAACGCAAAATCGGCAGACATATAGGCGGTTTAGCTAATTAGCTTCAATGCATTAGCATGGAAAAGAAGATTTTTAAACATCAGTACACCCGTTCTCAGTCCACACTGAATATATAGCGATTGCCTTAAAAATAGCGATTGCCTTAAAGTAAAAGAATTATTGCTTAATTGTTACTAAAATTGCAATTTTCACATGTGAACTAGCCCTGAACCAGAGTTAAAAAATTGGAAAACTTTTAGCGATGAATTGCAATGATTTTTTTATCGTCGCATTACTCGCAAAAATCTCTGTTGAAATAGCACTGAATTAGCGATTTTCAGCGACGCATTAGGGATAGACTTTGAGTATGTTTTCCTGAAGAAAAACTTCCAGAAAAAGTTTACAGCGATGGAATAAGCAAATGAGTCACTGAAGGAGTAGCTGGAAGATAGTTTTTTTTACTGCAAATCTTAGTTTGTATGTGAAATAGAGATCTATGCGGTCCTGGGGAAAAAGTGAATTTTTTGAAATTTTTCGCGTATAATTACAGGTAAAAAATATTTTTATAACAGTTTCGAAACAAAAACCTACGTTATTTTTGGTAATCTCTAGCAAAAAATGCTTTTGTATTCCTGCATTTTTTTGCTGGTGACTTGAAGTGTCTACTTTAGTTCTGGTCAATAATTATCTCCAAGTAAGATTTGAAAGCATATTTTTAAATTAAAAGTGTAGGAAATGAAACCACTAAAATCTAAGTGAAAGTGCAAAGTCGCCAATAAAACACTGCTGATTCATGGCCGGCAAAATAAGCTTTGCATCGAAGTAAACTTTTTATCGAAAAAACGTGATAACAAAATTTTTTCATGCGATGTGAAACATTCTCAGTGAGAAAATTGGACTAATCAGTTTAAAACTGTGGGCTCAGATAAAGCTGGAAGTACCTGTTTGCTGGAACTACCTGTTTGACTCAAGTGTAGGAGTGGGGCAGTTGCTTAACACCCGTTTTTCGATTGAACTCAATGCCAGTTTTGCTATGTTCGTTTTCAAAAAACAATGAAATTCCCAAAAATTTGAAATTTTTGAATTTTTTATGAAGACATACAGGCTTTTCTGCAAAAAACAGCGTGTAATCGTTATGAAGGTAAAAACCTGCAACATTATCTTTCAATTGATTTGTTAAAATCAGAATTACAGAAGCAGATTTATAAAAAAAGCTTCCAAAGACGATCAAAATCTCAAAATTTGATTTTTTGTCGCAGCAAATAGCTTCATTCATAGCAGTGTTAAAAAAATTTGGGCTTAGCGACTTCTGTAAAGAAGATTGACGGAAATTGTTTGTCCGATTGAACCCATAGCTGTGAAGTCAATTAGCAGGGAAGGTTCCCATAATCAGTTTTTTTTCTCGGCTGAATCTTGGATTTGACAGGGTGTTCATTACTAAGAAAAAGAAAAATGCAAATAATACAAAAAAAGAATATTGAGAAATTGGACTTTTCCCCAAAAGCGTAACATTCTTCATCCAAATATAAGGGAGTCGCCACTTCGACAAAAAAAAAACTTATTTCAACCTGTTTTTTTGATTGCATCCTTAATCTTAGATTTGTTAGATTAGTTTCTGAGAGAAGATGAAAAGGTTTTCAAAAAACGGTCTTTTAAAATCATAAGATTGACTGTTCCGACTGCCATGTTTTTCCGCAGAAGTTAAGGCGTATCAATATATGCAGAAAAATTTCTAAAATCAGATTCTTTAATTGACCACTTCATTTTAAAACCAAAAATTCAAAAAACGTTGAAATATTTAACAAGTTGACTTTTTTGAAGGCTATAACATTGTTTTGTTTTTAAGAAACCTTGTTTATTTAAGGCCTAACTCACTGGGTAAATTTTTTTTCCACAACCAGCTGGTTTGGTTATATCCTTTATATCAGATTTAGCAAGAGGGTGTCTCAGAGGCGTAACTCTTTGTGTAGGAAAGCTTCCACCACCATTTTGAAACTTTCGTTTGACATTACTGTTTTGCTACAAAAAATTGGGCAATTTCAATTGCGCCAGGGGGGTAATGACAGTCTTCGTTGTTCTCTCAATTGAACCTTTAATCCCAGATTTGTCAGGGAATTTTTTTTTAAAAAGCCATAAATATTCAAAAATCGTTTAAAAAACCAAAATTTTGACTTTTCCGAGGACCACAACTATATTAATATAAAAACAATTACTAATAATTTTATGCAAAAAGTTTCATGAGGGAAAATATTTTTTTCCTCGCAGGACCCCAGAGATCTCTAAAATCCATTAAAATCTAAGGTTTGCTGCAAAACCCTGTCTTCGACTGACTCATTTAGTGAAATTTTAGAACAAATGAGCTTAGCCGCTAGTGCAGATGAGCCTCTCACGATCCGTTTTTCAGATTAAACGAAAAATTCAAGATATGGCCGAAGAGTGTTTTTTGAGAAAATAAAAAATAGTATGGTTGAAACAAATTCACCACAGGTTTTTGAAGGCTGTATTAAGTTGGGCAAAATAAAAAGAGACAGAGTATGGTAGGAAAAGTTACAGAAACATATGGGAGAGGGTGGTCTGTCCATTGATACCACTTTTTTAAAATCGGTTATATAGTTTTCGAGAAAAAGTAAAGCGTCCAAAACTTAAATCAAAATAACACAATCACATAAATTTTCCTAGTACCTATTTTTATGAAACAGATTTTTTGCTAAATTTAGCTATTTCGTACCTGCCAAGCGATTCGAAAAAAATTAGAGCGGATGAAGAAATCTGGTTTTATCAGAGCCGGGCTAAATTGAAAGGCCTTTAAAACCAAATGTTGAGCATTTGATAGAGTGTATCTCTGATCACTTGCTCTTGGTCTGCGTAAAAATCATGCTGAAATTCGAACTAAATGTTGTCCAATATGGACATTGAAAACAAGCTTTTTGGAAAGTAAAAACCTGAGTTTGCTCTTACTTTTGTCCAGTAGTGTATATTAACTGGTTTTTACCGCTTTACCGTAAAATTGATATTTGTAACTGATTCAGTAGAAGTGCTAAGATTGTTTTAGTGGATGGGACTTACTATGGGCGAGTATATGTTTTCGACTTGTAAGTGTTGCATGATTCCGGCCATGAATGCGGCCAGGTTGGCTGTGTAGCTGGCGATGAAGACGAAGGAGAAGCAGCCCCACACATTCACCAGCCATCTGGCACTCCAGCATTTGGGCGCCTTGGAGGGGAAGGTGTGACTGAACAACATACTCCACGTGTGCACTGCAACGCAAACGAAAAGAATATTTAATCAGATTGTTTTCCGATAAAAAATTTTCCGATCATACAAAAGTTCAGCTTGATAGTCTGTGTTTTTAGCATCCTAACTTTTAAATACTGTTTAAAGCGATGATCATCTGCAGAGAAAAGTTGTTCTAAAAAGATTTATCGAGAAAACTTTAGACCAGTTTATGCCTTTATGCCTTTAGACAATTAATTGGTGGCGTGCTTAGTTGTTATATAATTTGAGGAGCACCCTCCACTGTTTTATATATATTTTAATTTAGAAGCCAATTACTTCCGCATGAAATACTCTGAGAGGTATAAATATCGGCTCCACTGGAACTCACTATGATACTATCTGTAGGTCAGACTTGCAACTCTTCCACACAATTAGCAAAAGTATCTGGAAATATTTAAATGTCCAAATAAACAACCGGTTGTTTCAATTCGACGCAGTATGTCAGGCAGAAGAAACTAAAGAAAGCTACAGGAGTCCGTATTTGACAGGCAATTCACACAGCTCAATGGATTCAGATCCGATGTTATCTTAGATTTCCAGGGCAGTGTCAAATCGGTCAAAAATATAGTTAAATTAACAGGGCTAGTTTTTGACTAGTTTAACATTTAAATTAGAGAGGCGATAACTGCAGATAGCTACATTTTGAAATAAAATCGAAAAATTAAAATTCTATTGCATTCAAGGGCGAATTTAGGGGTGAGGGTGAGGGTGGGGGTGGTGGCGTACGCCCTCTCCTCAGGGATTCGATAACCTGCCCACTCAAAGGGTGTCCCCTTTGAACTATTTTGAGATATCCATTTTTGTCTGATGAACCTTTAAAAATTTTCCAAAAAGTGCAAAAAAACGCCTTTTTTTTGCTAGTTTTTCAAAAATTTGCCTGCGGCGCAGAAAAATTGGCCAAAACAGGGACTTTTTATTAATTTGGTCGACCTAAAGAAAAGCTCGACAAAAGTTTTGAAATTTTTTTTAAAACTTGTCCCCCCCCTCGAGAGAAATCCTAGATCCGCCCCTGACTGCATCGGTGAGAATTCTTCCGACTTTGGAAAAAAAATGATAAAATATTTGTATTTGCATGTTTTTTTCGAGAGAAATTTTGACATTTTAACAGGCAATGTTTTACAGAAGTTTTCACCTGCTATCATTTTTCGAAAAAACACCTGGTTTTGAAAACACCTGGCCAAATGGAGCCAGCTAATTGATGCAAATTTTTCCTTAATAAACGCAGAAATGGTCACTTTGTGCCTGAAGTTGCGTGTAGAGGAATATATGAACAATTGAAAAAAGTTCAAAAAACCAAAAATAATGAAACAACTATAATTTAATTGAAACATTAAAGGATATTCATCAATTTGAAACAAGCAGCCTTGAAATTAAAAGTCGGTTGTTTTGGATGTTGGCTCTTTCCAACGCATAGATTTTTGCTGATATCAGATTTTGTAAAAGTCATTTGAAACAAATTTTGCTGTTATAAATCAAGCTAAACAATGACAGTGTCATTCAGTGAAAAAATTTTTAACAAATTTTTATGCAAATTGCCGTATAAACAATTTTCTGGCTTTTTTAGAATGTAAAAATGCTAGTCATCTAAAACTGAGGAAGAGGAATTTGTCGCTCCCTTCTTTTAAAAGCTTAATTAAATGGACCACTACACGAAATGGAAAACTCTAAGAGCCTGAAAAGTTTTTTTTGCGCAAGCATGTTCATACTTTTCAAACAACGCTCGTGTGGCACCGCAGCTTGTGATATCAAACTAAAGCCCTTTCTACTTGATGTTCACATTTCCAAATGATTTTCGAAACGTTCAGTCAATTTTGACAATCTGTTTGTATAGTTTTTTCAAATTTCAGCACCAAAAAAATATGAGGAAAAAAGTATTAGATCTAATTTTGATGATTCGCACAATCAACCGTCCCCTTAAAGTTAACTGAACAAAGTCGGACGCATCTCTTCATAAAGATTTTCATATTTGAATAATAAGTCAGAAGTACCGACTGCTGTGCAAGTGATACAGATCAATCCTTTCTCCAAAATGTTTGCAAAAAATTCAGAAACATTTCTGCTTGTTCAAAATCTTAGCTTTTTTGCGTTCGTGAATGTGAAAAAAGTTTAGGTTCCCTTGTTATTCTAGTGAAAATTTGAACCACACTATAAAACGTTTTATTGGAAAAACGTGTCAATTTTCATTTCGCACTGACCGAGATGGTTTGAGACCAGTTTAAAAAACAAAAAGGTTTAGATAAAAGTTACAGATTTAAGTCAATTTCGAAAGAGTTTTCTCTAACTTTAAAGCTAAGAACTTTGATTCAATTGTATTCTCATTCGATTGAACGCCATCATTTATTCCTTTTAGAGCTTCATTTTCTTGCATTTTAGGTTGCATTGCTTAATTCATATATGTTGTGTTTGCTTAAATTACAGGTCGCATTGCCTAAAAACTTACCCATCTTGTTCTACCAAAAACTTTACAGAGATTATTTACAAATTTTTGAGCCTCGTTCGGTTCTTGATTAAACTATTTCAATAACTAAGTGCGAATAACTTCAAAACAATTAATTAATCACAATTCAATTTTAAGTTTTTTTTGTGTATATTGGCTTCAAAAAATCGCTCAAAAACATTGACCGTTAAAAAGATTTCTAGAAAACTCCTTTTAAATTTTTTTTATTACAGCGGGAAATTTCATTTGGGCTGACTTTTATATAGATTATCCCAGGAACTAGTAGTTTTTGGTAAGCAATACTCCTCTATAGACGACTGCAACACTGAAAATGATTTCTATTGAGTATATTTTTTCACGTACATTTTGGAGTACAATTATATTTCGAATACCTTGAAATTTTTTTCAGGTCTGCAGTCTTTTTACAACCAAAAAAAACAACAAATTGAAATAAAATAAATAATTTCTTTATCGTTCATTTCTAAGTCAGTAGCAAAAATTAGCTGTTACATCGAGAGAAAACTCCAAAAAAAGCGGTTAAGCCTGTCGAGTGATGCCTCTAATCTTTCTTCTAACTCTTGATTTTATATCTGAAATATTTTGATTTTTTCATATTCAAGCTTGAGTATTACGTTTTAAAAAAATACTGGTGGTATATAAACCAGCGAAGTATCAACCAGCCAAAAATACTTAAATGTTTTTAAATAGCTGTGAACCATTTATCTAACAGCTACGAAAGTTAAGCAAACTCATTCATATGGTGTAGCTTTTCGGCTGGCTTATAGAGTGCGCGCATTTCCGGATGGCTTATAATTCGGCCTGTTTAATTACTCTCGAAAATTACCAAATCAAATTACTGAAAGTTGATTTAAAGTTAAATGAATTTACTTCAAAAACGTCTTTGTCGATGCAGGAATTTTTTTTTTAGAAAAAAATTGAGGAAGGTAATTTTATAATTTTTATTATGAGTAATTTGTAAAAACGTGGTAAGCATTGCATCATTTTTAAGGTTTTTCAAGATGAAGGTTATAAGACCTAGCGTGACAGCAATAAATTGCGAGATAAATTATGCTGAAATAATAGTTTGCATATTCGGGACTTATCTAAGACAGTTATATAAACGCTAAACTTGTTATCTTTTGCACTTTGCATTTCTGGGCTGTCTGATACTTTTATACTTCGCGATCTGTTGCATTTTATAATCTCCTCCCCTCAGTATAAAGCAAGTTCTAAACATCTAAGTACTATATATTAAACTGATCATAAATTCTTCGGTCAACTTAGTGAAGCCATAAAATTATGGTTATGCGCAATTTTAACTCCCATGAATCAAATTTCTGTTTAACTTTTAAAGGTTCTTAAGCCCGCCTTTAAACTTGCCTCCTTAGTAATGATTTATATTATAATTGGTACCACGGTAAACCACAAAGCCGGTTAATATATGAATACCTAAACAATTTTGGGGCCAATATATGAGAAGACGGTTATGTTTACTTTCACAAAGGCAGAAATGGTTGATCGTTATTTACTTAAGCTTTTGATGGCTCGCTGGTCCGGCGGGTTTAATTGAAATTTATTAGCACCGTATATCAGGGAAGGGTTGGATTAGTTTCTCTTGAAACCTGTTCCAGATCTAATCTGGGTTCTTATTTATAATTGGATCATTATATCGTACCAAGTTAGCGTACAGAAGTGTTAATGAAAACGATACGAGGAAAAGTGAAATGTATACGGATAACATGGTCTGTTGTTTGGAAGATCAAACTGAGTTTTTACCATATCAGCCCGTGATTACTTCTCAATTTAACTCAAACCTTATTTTTTAAGCAGCAACAATATTAAGAGGAACTGAGATGGTAAAACAGGATAAATGCGTCTTCTTACAACTTTTGAAGCTAAAATATTTTCATAAACTTTTTCCGTAAAAGATATATGAGAAGTTTTCCGATTCCAACTTTCCAAAAATGGAGTCTAAATGTAGAGAAACTATCTGAGCCATGTTTTGATTCATATTGAACCTTTGGTAGCCGAATACTCACCGAGTGCACTAGGCCACGAGAACACCTTCTCCCTGTTTCGGCCAAGTGGAGTTAAGCCGTATGGACTGAGCCACTCGAACACAGTGATACACAGGGCCACTACATGTACACAAACCACCACCAGAATCCATACTTCCCAACTGAGGGGGGCCAGGAAGGCGTCCGCTTTCGGGTCTGGCTTCTTACGCGCCACCTTTAAACGCAATTAATTAAAAATAATAATATTGTACTTAAATAAGGCAAGTGATGAGATCAATGTCATTTAAACTGTCCATACTGACTGATTTTACAGCTCATTTTCTTCCAGATTTTCCCATAAGGAATTCTGATTGAGTTGTACATTTTTCGGACATTCGGATTTTCTGGTATGAGCTATTCCCTGCTAAAGATGGTATACTTACCATGATGGAGAAGCCTGAGTGGAAGAAGGGGGAGGTGAAGTCGATGACCTCTGACCTCTCCTTGGTGATGGAGAATGCACCTATGGCCAGGTCAGCCGCCCCATTGATCAGGTCACGCACCATTCCGTCCCAGCTGCCGTTGATCTTACTGCCTAGAATTGTGAGAACTCATCTATAGTTCAAAGGTTTGGTGAAAAAACGAAGCGTGAAAAAAAGGGGAAGTGGAATGCCGAACGTTTAAATAGGAGTAGACCGAATGTTTTGCACTCCTGGAAATAATTTAGAAAAATAATGCACGGAATAAATCGACTGAATAAATATACAACACGTGAAAAAATATATCAAAACTTTGAAAACGACAGGTAATTTCGTTTCACATTTCATGGTGTTATTCAAGTTTGAAAGTGTACCTGGTTTGTTTTTGTCCACAATGTAGAGATGGTAGTGGAAGTCCAAGTCCTGTTTTAGTTGGTTCAGAAAGTCCACCATCAGTCCACTGCAGCACTGCAACATGTCTCTCGTCAGTTTGTATCTAAATGGAAACAAAACATTGTTTCAAACCATGGGCAGATCTAGGATTTTCTAGAAAAATTTGTCCGTTTTTTTTCTGTTTTTTAGGTCGGCCAAATGGACCTTGTTAACTATCCCCCCCAAGTCCATCAATCTTAGATATCTTTGAAAAATCTTGAAGAAACTTGGTTAAATCTTAAGGAAAATCTTGGCTGTCTTGGCAAGTTCTTGCCAAAAAATCTTAGAAGATATCAAATGTTCTTCACGAAAGTTCAAAGAATCTTGGTGAAAAAACAAAGATAGCAAAGGATGATTGGCGATTTCACATTCAGGATTTTCCAAGGTTTCAACAAAATTTTCGGCCTTCTTATTTATTGAAGATTAATCTAAAATTTTCTGAAAAAAATTTAAAAATTCTCCAGAACTCTCAATTGGAAAACTCAATTGCAAAACACTTAAAAGTTAGACTAAATATGATTATAAAAAAGTCAAATGTAATTATACATTGAAGCTCTAAACAATCAATGATTTTGTGCGCAAAACTAATAATCATCAAAAAATTACAAAGTTCAAATTAATAAAAAATGATCTGCAAAAAATATGCAAAAACCATAAGATTAATCTTAAAATTATTCTTAAATAGTTGTCTCTGAAGTTTACCCTTTTTTAGTATTTTAATGTAGTTTCGGAGATGCTTGGCTAAGTGTTCGCTCGTTAATTTGCTATGAATTTTTTTTCGAAAAAAAAAATAAAGAACTTTTCTTTGATGTCTTTAAAGATTTTGAAAAAACTTGAAGAATCTTGAAGATTTTTTCAAGATTGCTCGAAAAAGGAAATTCTTCTGTTGAGCTGCCGGAGCGATCGTACATGTTTTTGAGGTGGTGTTCGTGTACCCGGGTTGACCTCCATACACCGAAAATGCTTTTTATACAATTCCATACATCAAGTGTGTGGAAAAATGCTTGTCATACAATTTTCATACAATTTCTTAAAATGGTTGAAAACTGGTATAAACTTATTTCTGTTGCTGTTTGATTCTAATAGAACAGTCTGGTGATAAAAAACTGAGATTTTAGTTTTTTGAAAAAAATGCTCATCATACAATTCCCATATATGGAAATTGTATGACTGGCATTTTTTTGATTACGACACAAAAAATGTTTCAAGTAATTTTGAAAATTTGGCCCAAAAATTTTGTTTTTTTTTTCAACCGCAAATCGAATTTCGTACGCAAACAAACACTTTTCGAAAAAAATTTTTTGCATGCAAAACTTAATATTTTGTGTGCATAACGTAGTCCTGGATACAATAAAATTGGCTTTTATTTTCTTTTCAGTTAAATTGTTTTTTCAAAAACGCTGAAAACTCATATTTCCTTTGTATGGGGTGTTAATGTATGCCTTGATCAATGTCTGATAATTTGAAAATTCAAAAATTTGAAATAATCATCATTAAAAAGTTTTGCCAAAAAATAAAAGTTTGTTACTTTTGTTAGATTAATTGTGAAAGACAGCCAAATTCAGGTCGTTTTCTAAGCACTGTAATTGCAAGACCGTCAAACCTTTGGTGTTTTGAGTAACCAAGGTCTTTGTCACTTGTGTTCGGTTGCAAACACAACCGAAAATTTTTCAGAGACTAAATTCAGAAAGAAAAAATCAAAATTTTTGGTTTATGGGAAAACACCTATCATACAATTTTCATATATAGAAAAATGTTTATCATAGAGTTTTCATACAATTTTCTGTACGTATGGAATTGTATGAAATTGTATGACAAGAAGTTTCTCATATATGAAAACTGTATGATAAGAAGTTTTGGTCAACCCGGGTAGTTTAGACTCTTAGGTACCTTGGAAAAAGCCGGAATTATTTTAACTTTTCTTTTCTATGTTTGATAAATCTTGATAAATCTTCAAGATTCTTCAAGATCTTTGCAAGATTTTCAAGATGACTGGACCTGGGTATATGCATGTATTATTTTTGACAACCATTTTTGTATAAAATATGCATTTCAAAAATGTCAATATTTAAGTGGGTTTTTCATTTTCGCGCGTTCGTATTTGTATTACGCACTGTATATATAATACCCACGTAAAAAATTTTAAATAAATATATTTTCTGAAAATTGTTTCAAGCTATTGAAAATAGGGACGCCAAAGTTGAATTTCTAAATATCGAAATAGGGGAGGAAATAGTTTAAAAGATCCGACCAAATTACTTTTCTTATTTTCTTAGCTCCCCTAAATCAACTAAAAAAGACTCTGTTTTAGCCAAACTTTTTGCGCCGCAGGCATGTTTTTGGAAAAACATGCCAAAAAGGCGTTTTTAGGCGTAAAAGAGGCGTAAGGCGCTCTCGCCTCAAAATAGTATGTATTCGAGCTAAATACGCCGGTAGAAAAATTTAAGGGTCAGCCAGTCGAAAATGGAGCTCTTATAATAGTAATAGTACCAAAGGGGGGACCCTTTGGGTAGTCATGGGATCGAATCCCTGAAAGAAAAAGGGCACCCCCTTAAATCGGCTACTGTTTCATATGAACTCAATGATCACTCACTGATTTTTTAATCATTTTGTATTTCGAAAATTTTTTAAGCAAATTAAATTGATAGATAATCTTCGGACAACCTGGGCTGTTTTCATTTAAACTTACATCGCATTTATCTGCCAAGCGTGCAAAAGAATCTTGAATAGAACTAGTCCATTTAAAACCAGACTGAACTGTTTTTTTTGAGACGTTGAATTTCTGCTAAGCTTTGGTGTATCTCACCTAGGTCTCATTGAAGGTTGACTTCCGTTTTCTTTCTTGTACGCTTCAAGGTTGGGAAGCAGCTGATCATACATCGCAGGCGTGAACTTAGACGACTCATCAAATAGCCTAAAAAAAGAATGGAGACCGAATCAAACGCAGCAATTTGCCAACTTTAACCTATCATCAAACAATTTCGTCCTTATGTACATAAAATCAAAAGTCAAAAGGTTCAGTCTTTGAAGTCGAAAGATATTTTAGACGCAAAAATTAGGATTCGAGGAGAGCTGTGAAAATCACGCTAGTGGATCTTTAAGGGAAGCATTTTTTCAACATCTCACGTTTCTTCATTTTCTGTATTTTTGCATTTAATTGTCTGAAGAAATAAATTCTTTCTTTCTTTCTTTCGTACATTTTCATTTTTTTCGAATAATCCACAGGATCCGCTGATTATAATATGCTTGCAAAGCAGACAAAAAATTAGTCTTTTCATTTTGCTGAAAAAATTAAACTCATTCCGGTGTCAGTTTATTTCAAGATTAATTTTAGCTTATCAGTCACAAGAAAACAGAGATTTTCAGACCAGTTTTTTCTCGATAGCGAAAAAAAAGTTTTCTTAAAAAAAGAATATGGGAACCCCACGGACGCTCGAGGCAAGACAACCCCTCGCCCAGACTATCTTTTTGAGGCAGTTAAAGTCCTACCGCAAAAAGACCCAAACTGTGACATAGTTACTTTCCACTCTTTCCTGATTGGTGGGAATAAAAAATAGCTTCAAGAAAGTGTCAAAAAAAATTGAAGTAAAAAAGAATGCAAAAGTGGTTTCAACAGACTTGTTGTATTGAGTGAGTTACCTGATGAGGGTCCATTTGTCGTGACTGTTGGGTTTGAGACATCGACTGGCCGAGTAGCACTGCCAGTTCTTGTCTTCAGCCTTCAAGTACTCCACAAAAGGCGCAGTCACCTGAATACAAAACATGTCATTTGTTGCTTCTGTTTGAAGTTTAGCAGTATTTTGCGTGTTGTTGGCTTTTGTTAACAAACAACTTTGAATTTTTGTGCATTGATGAAGCCTTTTGATCTGAGATTTTTTCTGGAAAAAAAAGAGTTTCACACTGAATTTGGCTAAAAATTTTTTTTGGCATGAAGTCCTAAATTTAAACTTCTGATATGAAACAGAATCTGGACAGACATTTACAAGCCGTTCTGTAATGCAAAAATAAGAGCGAATTTCTGAAACTTATGGTTGCAATTAAAGATATCTTAAAAAGTTTTTCATAGAAAAAAGATAAAACTCGTAGAAAACATGATATATAGACCATCCAATAACATATTTTTTGGCGTGTCTGTACAAAACAGTCCCATACAAAACAGTCCAATACAAAACAGTCTGGAAAAGTATGAAAATGAACATTAAAAAAACATCCAAAACAAAACAGTCCGAAAAACAGTCCCAAGTAATAATTGCTTTAACAACCCGGCAGGCCGAGAATTGCCCTTTGTTCAACAAACATAATGAACAAAATAGTGACCACCGCAGTCGCGCCAACGTGTTGCGAGCCTGCCTGCCAACAGAGGGTAGGACTTAATACAAAATTTGGAGCCGGTTATCGGGACTGTTTTGCATTGGACTGTTTTGTAAATGCACCTTTTTTGGACAAATTAGCAAACGTGGTCAATTTAGATTTAAATTTGAGTCTGTTAACTTTACCTCTTACGCTACTCGATGATAGAAACGCTGGTAGATAGCGTGCAATAGTTATCCCCCATTTGCAAAAGTAATCCAAGGAAAAAGCTACTAAAAACTGCCCGTAACAAAGTCGAAGTTTTTCTGGAGAAAAACCAGTCCGAGCTCAAATATTTTTTCACTTCTTTCGAAAGTTGGAAGAATAATTTTCATTCGATATTCACAGAGTGTAGAATATCCAGCATCATACCTCAAACATTCTCAAGAACAATTCTCTTCAATTTGCAAAAAGTATCTGAAACACCTGGTAGTCAACTCATAATTCAAAATGATAGGAAAAATTCTTTGTTTAAAGGACACTAAAATCAGCTCTGAATCTTCAATATTTAGTAATTGACACCCATTTTAAAGCACTAGACACATAAATTCAAATTTTTGAAAAAGCGAACTGAGAACAATTCATAGAAAAATAGTGGTGCATACGACTTGCGTGTACAAATTATGGTTGATGTAAACACAACCTCGAAAATGTTAATTAAATTTTTTGACAATCAGTTTAAAATTGATCGAAAATTATGCCATGCAGTTTTCTATCTAATGGCACTTTTTATCAAAAAAAAAGATAAAAACAATTTTTTAAGGGCTGCATTTATGAGGTTTCTCGCAGCAGAAATTAGTTGGTTTGCAAAAATTAGTTGGTTTTGGAATTATAATTCTCGCCAAAAAAACGTTACAAAAATGTTCAAATTGTTCAATGAGGTAGGAGTTTGCTTGGAAAACAGAAAGCTGAAGAAAAAAAATGCACGTGAATGTAAAGTTAATGCCAACCGCCAAACCTTCAGTAGTCAACAAGGATAATCGATTGATATGCAAGTAGCACAGAATTTTCCGGCCACAATGAGTTAAATAAAAAAGTTTAATTTGTTTAGAGCCTTTTTCATTTTTTCTTCATTTCCTGTGGATATGTTTGGAAAACGCAATTGAATCAGGAAAAACTACATTTGAGATGTTATTAGCGAAAATAAACCAACAGTTGAATTAGAAGTGAATTTAAATTGGGCTTCACTAAATTAAGTATCACCAAGTTGGTCGGAAAATTGAAATAATTCCGAACAGATTTTCTCGTCACTGAGGCCTTTTTTCGAAATCCGAATCACGGCCGAAATGGCTTAAATGCGATACGGATACCACACTTGACTACCCACTAGCCCTCTTTGAGATAGTTAAAGTCCGTCAAAGACACTCCACGCCATAGTTCTTTCCAGTCACTTTCAGTTACGTGGTCGGAACAACAACTTCTGCAAGATAGATTTATTACACTGCACTGACCTTGGCAGTGACCCTGACACTTCCCATGTCCGTGCCCTCCCTCGGCGTCTGGAATGAGTTGCCGGGCCACATGACACTGTGGAAGTTAGTCAGTCTCCCGTTGATGAACTCTGCTATCCTCACCCACTCTCTCCTTCTCGGCTCCTCCCTCGTTTGTAAGTTCTGCACTTCAAAACTGAAAGTAGCCAGGTCTCCGGAAGAAGTGAACACCCGTTTGTTGTCGGCTGTAGTCGCGTTTTTTAAACGACTGAAGCAGAAAAAGTGGTTTAACCGAAAAAAATGTCTATAATTTAAAAAAGTACATCATTTTAATCGATTTTTCTTTTGAATCATTATACTTTTGTTTATCAATTTTGCTTTTATATTTCTTGCAGTTATAACTTGGTCGGAGCATTATTGTAAGATGGCGTGAACTCACTCGTAGAACTCTGCACTGCTCCTCTTCACATTTAGGTTGGGCTGGCAGTTGTTGGGAAGATTGTCCCTCTGCAGATGTCTCCTCCCCTCCCCCTCCATCTCATTCAGTGCCTGTTGGATTAACTGGACAGCCTTCTGCATCTTTTCACTCTCCGTCTCCGTCTCCACGAAGCGCACTGTAAAATATTATTTCAATTTATTTTTGTAATTATACTTTTTAAAGATTCAAAACGACAATGTTGAGCTTCTTTTATAAAATTGTCTATGCTCAAAATATGGCGCAGAAAAGCGAAAACAACTCGAATTTTATTGAACAAGTTGACCTTTTAGTTGGTCTTGATTGATTTTCCGAGTTCTCCCAAAACCTCCATTACTGTTTTCGCTTACTTCAAACATGTTTGTACTTGTACCTGAAAGTATTCCATCTGGCAAGGAGTTCATTTTCTCTTGGGAAAGTGAGAACTTATTCTGCAGTTCATCTGTGAGCATCCACGCATAACCGTACGACAGAATCCCAAGGTCATCCGCCTTGTCAATCACTGTCGAGGCCTCGTCAACCTCAGTGTGCACGATGAACACCTGGATAGAATAACTCTGATTGGAAAAAGTTATGTTAAATAAGAATGAACATGTTTTACAATACGCATCTAGCTTCAGATTTTTTTTCCGAACGTGTCTTCCCAATTAAAGTATTTCATTCAGCTAGTTTTTACCCTGAAATTATACTGTTTATTTGTCATAAACCAAATTATGTAATGTTATGTTTTCAAATACGTCATTGAAACATTTCTCGAAAGCCTTCTTGATTTTTATAAAAAATTAAACGGCAAAAAAATCTAGCCCATATAACACAGAAAGAAAGGCAATTTTGCACAAAGAGTCAGTTTGGTGATGGCTGAAGAATTTATCTCATATATTCTTCTTGACAAATTATGCCATATGACAAAATATCCCATCGGAATTTTTCGCATGCAAAGAGGCTGTCTGTACCTTGTATCCGTTGTTGCGAAGCTCCTTCAGCGTCAGTGACACATTCGTGTGGTCTTGCGCATCCACTTTTGACACCTAGGAGAAAACGAAAGATTGAACAAACAAATAACACAAAATTCAAATAAGCTATTCTTCAATGTCACCGAAGAGTCTCTTTCAAAAACTATCGTACTTCATACTTTTTTTAAAGTTTGCAATAAAAAATTTTAGATTATGCGTTCTTTTTCATCGCATTTGCCGCCTCAAACCAGCTAGAAAAAGTTACGGTAAATTATTCTGAAAACAAAAGTTCATTTAGTTTACTTCAATTAAATCCATAATCAAAAAAGAAGATAGCTCGGTTCCAGGCTTGAAAAAAAGTACAAAAATTGATTGAATTAAAATGGTAAAATATCAACGAGAAAGGATTATGGTGGATATCCGACCTTATGGTGAATATTCGACCTTGAATATCCGACCTTTCGATTTAGAGGCGGAAACGTAACCCTTGAGAAGCTGAAACGTAACCCCCCTTTTGCGGGGGGGGGGGGGGGTTGACTAAGTTGTGAAAAAGTACCCGTAGTTTCCACTGGCTCCTCTCTAATGGCGAGTAGATGGTCTGTTTCTGAAGTGCGTCTATGAAGCCGTCGTTGATGACGTCATAGGTGGTGATGACTGCAAAGGAGAACAGACCGTACTTGCGGAAGAACTCGATCATGGGCTGAGACTGCACAGAGAGCGGCGCCACCAGTCGCAGGAACATCGGGTGGGTGCCCTGGAGAGAGAGAGAAAAAAAACAAATTCAAACAACTTTTTTGCAAAAATGTTGGTTGCTGTCGTTGTAGCACATGAGGTCCGGCCACCTATGATAACAAACTTAAAAGTAAAAAATGTACAAGAAAATCTAATGTTTTCTATGCATTTTGAGGCTTATTAATTGGTTATCTCTATAATTTAAATTTACAGTTTCAATTTGCTCCTACCACAAGAGAAAATAAAAGAATATGAAGATGGCTGGTTTTTTTCACGCAATTTTCAGTGCCTGAAAACACAACGTCATTTGATCAATTGGGGTGGTATCAATTTTAAAAGCTGTCACTCGTAATTCGTTTCGTTATCAGTATCAGTAAAGGTTATTGAAAAACTTTATAACCCATCTTACACTATAAATTATTCAAAAACTTTATATCCCATCTTACACTATAAATTTGTGAGTTTAAGTATTTTTTGTTTTTTTTTGCTTGATTGCTGTTTCAAAGAACACAAAAAAAATTCATTCATTCTTCAAGCATTCGTCTAATTTTTTCCGAAAAAAGGCCGTATTCAAATTTAATTTTTTGTTTTGCCAGTAAAGTAGAATATGTTTTTTAAAATACTGTATCACCTGATTTACATTTTGTGTGATTAGATATTTCGACTAGATATATATGTAGGCACACAATTTGATGTTTGTAGATCACTGGAATCCAGAGACAAGTCTGTGAACATGCTCCAACGTATAAGTGGATTCCACTAACAAAATTTGCGTGAATATCTCGCAAAATAACCGCAACGGGAGTTTTTTTTCGTTATATTAGTTTTAACGTGCATTCGCAACGAGCGAGTATAGCTATTTTTTTCCGTAACCTGCAGTTGTAAACGCATTCCGCACAACTCTCCGGATTCCGCTTACAATTTGCGGATTCAGCTTACAATCTGCGGACTCCGCTTGTAACTTGCGGACTCCCCTCACAGATGAGGACTTCACAACAAGGTTATTTTTCTATACACGTATTATTCTTTGTTTGTTGATTCCACAAATTTCTTCGGATTTGGAAAATTTTAATGCGGATTCCGCAAAACTTGTTGTGGATTATGCTAATTTGCTTTTTTAGGAGCTTTTTGAACAAAATCAAGATTCAGCTATTCGTTTGTGGAATCCGAAACAACAAAGACGATGAAAGAAAGCTTTTGCCGATTCTACGAAAAGACCGTTCTCAGCCTGTTGCGGAATCTGCTAACCGCTCACAAAAAGCAGTTTGGCTCGTTATGATGTATCAGCGTAGAATTAGCAATGATTGAATGACGATTTTCAGATCAAATATTGAGCAATTTTCTGCAGGAAATTATCAATAACTCATCGATTAATTTTGTTAAACTTGCAAGCTTTTTTGCTTTTTGAATGATCTGATGATTTCTAAAGTTATAACTTCTATAATATTTTTTCCTGATATTTTCCGATGATATTTGGGTAGATCGAAAGTATAAGAATCACTTTAATGGGAATGAATTGGAGCCAAAACTTATCTTCTAATGATGTAATACCAATTAAGGCACTTAGCAAAGTGGTAGGGAGTTTACACTCTGAACGTCGAAGTGCATGATCGATATCCTGCCATGGCAAAGATAGTGTGTGAGGACGAGCTCTCACTTGAACTTTACATTAATGTCTACTACAGCTTAACCAATTTTAGCTGCAATAGTGGTACTACGTGAAAATTCTAAGCGAAGAAAAAACGGCCTTGAAACGCAAAAAAAGCTTCGCTCATAAAAATAACTTAGTATGAAATGAGAGAAAATAGAGACAAGCCTGTTAAAGCTCAATGATAACTGCTCTGCAATTCACAGGAACCACAGTTGTTATGATTATGATCATGATTATTGAGTTGGTATATCTACTCTTGCCATAAGAAGTAACAAATTATGTTTTGAAAGTTTTCATCCTTTCTGCTTCAAGAGCCCGTAAATCAAGAAAAAATTAAAAAGATCTCCCAAAGCTCCTGGTTTGCCATGAACACAATTTTTCTCATTTAATTTTCAAATTTTTGGAACATAGTCAGTTTTGAAGGTTATTTGAAAAAAGTGTGGTTAATACAGTAAATTTTCAAAATGAAATTATTTTTGTTGAAAGAACGTTTCAACCGATGAGTTATTCTGTGGGCTTGTTTTACTGTAGCAGATTTAATTATCTCAGATAATCATCTCAGTTGACTAAAATAACTTTGTTTAAAAAAAATTACAAAAAAAAATATAAAACTCTTGATTGTTTTTGATTGATTTGTTTTAGTTTTTGAAAAATAATATTTCTATGTCATGTTTGATAACATTTGTTTTAATTTTCCTGACATGGTAAAAAGGATTAGCTAAACTCAAGGAATGAATTTACCTTTCGTAAAAATTATTCCAAATATTTGACTCGTTTGATTCGTTGGCTCTCATTTTACATTTGATCTTTTATTGATGATTATGAGTTTTGTCTGTTACAAAAAATGCATGTTTTGAGTGTATCAAGCTTCAAAATTAAAAACTGATAAGATTGCTGGAAAATGATATATACACGTTTTGCCAATAACAACTTGTTTTGGTTAAGAACCTGAAAAAGAAACGTTCAGTTTTTAATTTTGAAGTTTGAAACATGCATTTCAAAACATGCATTTTTCGAAACGTGCATTCAAACGTGCATTCAAACGTGCATTTCGAAACATGCATTCAAAACATGCATTTTTTGTAACAGACAAAAATCATAATCATCACTATAGGATCAAATGTCATTTGAGAGCCAAAGAATCAATTGAGTCAATTAGTTAGAATAATTTTTACAAAAGCTAATTTCATTCCTTGATTTTAGCTTTTAATCCTTTTTACCACGTCAGGGATTTTAAAACAAATGTTATCCAACATGACATACAAATAATGTTTTTTTAATATTGCAGTTTTGAAAAACAGTGTTTAATATTGCAATTGTTTTAGCAATTTTTCGATAAGGCCGAATGATATTGAAATCTCAACAAACTTAAACAACACTGCTCGTATCAGGGCGAAGCCCTGAATGTTCCGACTGCCTTTTATGGTTTATGGAGCAGTTATGACATAAATATCATTAACAAATTTATTTTAAAAAAACCCATCCCGAGCACAAATATTCCGTTACTTTCGTATCGAAAGTCGGAACAACAACTTGTAAGCAGTTTGAACTAGAACAAACATTTGTTATTTTCGGTTGACATAATAATAAATAATATGGGAGAACTTAATTCACCCTACTTTGAACTTATCCTTATATGAAAAAAATAGTTTACCACCAATTTAATTATCCAGAGTAAAAATAGAACGATCCGTGAATATTTTTGTGGGGCCAAATTAGCAGAAGTTATTGCTGTAGTTTGATGTTTTCAGAAGAGTGCCCACTATTTACTGTTTGTTTACTTTCAGACTTTTATAACGCCTTTTTCTGTCGAATATTTGGAACTCTGACTGTTTTATTACCCCATACAGACTATATATTTAACAATCAATAAACGAGAAGAAGTTATTCGGTAATTTATATTTCCACACCTTCGCCCGCAGATATTTAGATTGAGGGGTTGAAACGAACAAAGATTAAACGAAAAACTCAGAGGAGCGAATAGGAAAGAAGGTTGCTTTGACTTCAAAAAAACTGCTCCAAGATCTTTTTGAGCCTTAAAAATTTTATAATTCAATCGAAAATTTGAGAAAGTAAACAAGAATCCATCCAGCAATCTCAAGATAGTTTTTTTTGTTATCGAATTTAATAAAATTTGGGAACATTGACTTCTGTTTTTAGCCATTACTTTCAAAGTTTTCATAGATTGCCTAATTTTGCTTGCCTTCTTCCCGCCTTCAAGAAAATACCTGAAAATAAAACTTTACAACAGACTTCGATGAATATTTTGATTCTCCAAAATTTAAGATTTTTGAATTGACCTCTGCATGACCCATGTTTTGACCCAGTTTAAATAATGACACTATTTTCTCTCGATTGTTTTAAATTGTTCAAAAAGCGACACTGACTTTAAAATGCCGCGTGAAGTTTTCATGTGGAATAACTTCGTTAAATAGGGATTTAAATTTGCAGTTGAAGTCACACAAATTCAAAGCTAATTCTTTTCCCGTCCATTAAAGAGTAGCGGACCACAATCTGATCACAAACATCTTACTTCAGCGGAATTATTTCACGTATTGGCATGCTCACGACGCATTTCAGGTTTTCCTTCAGCGTGAATTTCCTTACAGCCCAATTATGAACACTTCGTTAAGTTGGATTAACCTAAAACTAGCCTCGAAATTTGAGCCTTGATCCAATACGTCAACGTGAAAACAATCTACCACTATTACAACCCAGAAATAATCGGTAAAACCGGACAAATGGTGAAAAGTTAAGCTTTTATGGCATGTCCAGTTGATACCTAGAGCTTGTATCAATACAATAGAACTTGTATTAGCTTGACTCACTGGCTTTCAAAAAAATACTCGACTAAATAGTCATCAGGGTGGAAAAAAACTTCAGATGGATCGTAAAAAATTTTAATGACATTATTTAAAAGTGATAAAAGCGCACATTGGGCAGTTGCAGCCATTGAAATTGCGATTTTTAATGGAAAAGCAATTATTCCCGGCGGGCTAGTTCCTGTAGAAGCGTGAATGAACATTTTTCCCGCCCATTGGAAGTGCGAAATTGATCTGAAAGCGGCCAGGAGTTGTAAGGGCGAATTTAATAGGCTTTACTAAGTAAATACTTGATTTCTGGCCAATTTAAATAGCACTTGCCCTTAGCGAAGGTGTTAAAATACCTGTCTTGGGGGACGAATTAGCCGGCTAGATTGACGCGCGGTAGCTAGCTACTTACGCGCAATTTAGAGGATTAAGCAAATCACAGACAGAAAATGAGGTCAACGAATAGCTCAGCTGAAGCGAAATGACCGGTTGCTAAAATCAGGTTAGGGTTGAAAAAACCAATTGACCAAGAGCTAAAATCAGCACGTCCTCATTCCATTTAAGCTTCGCGAGATTAAAATGGCAAATTAGTCAGATCAATTAAGCAGGACGGAGGTTGGAGACTTGCACAAAAAATTACGACCAAGCTGTCTAGCATTCACGGATAAGATTCTATCAAAACGTGTCTGATTTGCATAATATCCATTAAGCAATTGCTCGTAATAGTTTATTGTGATACTTGAAAGTGAGTTCCAGACTGGGCTTTTTTAAGATGATTATTTATAAAATTTAATTTGATGAATTTGGACCTATACTGGAAACAATTTATTATTAAGATTAGTTCCACGACCTCTAAAGAATGTTTTGTTTAGTTTTTCAGGCGTAGGAGACTGCTTGTATCAGGACAAAGCCCTGGCTGTTTCGGATGTCCTTTAGGTTTTATGGAGCAGCTTTGTTAAAATTGGTTGAAATATAGCTTACGAATTGATGAAATTTCAATAAAACTCTTTTCTTTTATTTTTTTGGAAAGTTTTCTCCTCACATGCAAGGTAAAAATATAAACTACTGCTTTGTTAACTTTTATCAGAGTTTTTCTGGTAAAACTTGTTTTGCGCAATTTGAATCAAAAATTTTACCTCCAAAATGGGTAAATTTGACTTTTTTAATTAATCAAACGTTGCCCAGTGAATTATTGAGCAAGTTATACCAAATCGAGTTTCTCACAGAGCCCAAGAAAATCAAAGCTCGGATGGGAAAATCTGCAAACAATTAAAAAAACTTTTTGAAGCTAAGATTTTGAGTTTTATACAGTAAAAATTACAATTTTTGCCATCAATCGAAAATACAACCTCTGACACAGATGTTTGGAGATTTTAATTTCTAGATGTAGGTTTAACTTTACCCTTGTTAGACAGTGTAAGACGCCCGATTGATATAACTTGCTTATCAGTTCACTCGGTAGTTTTAGCGTAACTTTTGATTAACCAAAATTTTTTTTTGTGGCCTAATTTTTTCTCCAAATTTTGCAAAATTAGTTGAACCACAATAAATCTGATAAAATGTTAAGCAAGATTGTTATTTCCAATTTTAATCAGTCTTAGCTCAAATTAAAATAAAAAATGATTGAAGTTTCCAATCTTATTCATTTTGACCAAAAAACTTTAATCAGCGCATTTTCAGTTAAAACTTTCTTCAACTAGTTTTTTCAATTTCCAACTCTTTTGTTGCAATGATAGCTAGGGTCAAAACATTTTATGCTAGTAAAAAAGCAACACCAGGGAATTTTAATTAGCATAATGCTAGTAATTAGGAATATAAAAACCATCACAAAAAATGGCATACAAATTTGACTTTGAAAACGTACCTCAAAATCTTAAAATTGGCTGCCACTAACTCCTTAAACAAGGATGCACAGAAACTCAATAAGCCAGTTTTTGTTTTTGTCTAAATCAAAAATTTATCGAAATATATGTGATCTCCTGTTTCCACATTTTGTTTTTCCACATCGCTACTCATATTTGCAAAAACAACACTTATGTTTTGCTCATTACAATTTTCTAATAGATTAAAATTTGTTTTAATTTTTTTGTCATGTTTTTTTGAGTTTGTCGTTTTTTAAAAGCCAGCTATCCTTCCTGTTTTTGCGTTTGCTTTTTAAAAATGACAAAATCTTGTGAACTCGCAATTGTTAGGAGCTTTTTTCGAGTTGGGATTGACAACATAAAATTTGTTATCAATTTTCTCTAAATTTTTTGCGCTTTAGATGATTTCATACTTTTTATTAATTAAGAATTATTCCAAGTCAATTAAAGCAAGAAAAAAGATATTTTTTGTAGCTAGTAAAAGAAGCGTATTTTAGGCATCCAAGAAAAGAAGACACAAAAATGTTTACCTTTTTTCACAGAATTTTTTCGGAAAATTTAACATTCTAAGAATTATGGGTCAGCCTAAAAAATATAATTTTAACAATTTCAACAGTGTATAATAGCTAATTTCGCACTAGTCTTCGTTCTTAGGAGCATAGTCTTCGTTCGTAGAAAATTTGGATTATTTTGATGTTTCGTTGGGAGTGAATGGGTTGAAATTAGGCTTCTGTAGTTGGTACAAAAATAGCTGAAACACTTTTCAAACTATTGGAATAAGGTTAGGGCTACTTTCTTGCATTCGTTTTCAGTAGCAAAAAATGAGAACTAAGACTAAAAAGAAAAAAATAGGACTTCTTTTTCTCGACACTTTTCACCGCTTTCATTGGGCTTTTTATTGATCTTGATTTTGACAAAGTGTGTGTGAGTGGGCTTGTATTTGCTCCCAGCTGGTATGCGTGCGTATCTCGTGTTTGAGGCGTGGGTTTGATTGATTGCAAGAGACTCAACTGACCTTGAAAGAGTAGACCCATCGTCTGTCTGACAAACTGATGAGTGGAATGTACATCTGGGAGGCGACCATGGTCAGGAAGGACACTATCTCGTGGTCACACACTGCCAGCACAGCTATCGTGTTCGCCGAGATGCGACTGTTTGGACGACAGTAGTACTGCATCACCTAAATTCACTATACTCTAGGACCTAATTGCAGACAGTTTTGGTAAACTAGGGGTCTCTATGAGGTTTTGAAGTGCTCAAAAAACAATTTAGTCAACCTAATAAACCCCCTCCTAGATATCCTTCTGGCCTTGGTATTGACTCTTTTCTGATCATTTTGGAACCCGTGCGTTGTCTATAGTTGATGGCAACTTTATGGCAAAATCGTAGATCTTGAATCAAAATTTAATGAGACTTATTTTTCCGTTTGAAAATCACAGAAATTTTTTTGCGCAGTTAAAAAGACTATTTAGACGATCAGTTTTGTTGACAATCTTTGACGAACAATTTGTATTTTTCAAAAACTTTTGGATTAAAAAAGCAGAATTTTATGGCATGAAAAAATACAGAGGTTAACAACGATCGAGTTGTTTGTTGTAGTCTCTGATTTTTTTTGTCGATTTCTAGTTTTCAACTGAGCACTTAATTTTATTGCAGTTGGAACGCAATTAGAACACAAAACAAGAAAAAAAAATTTTCATGAGTTAATCTGTCACTTTTGTTTATGTTTTTTTTTCAATTCAATGAAAAATTTCAGTAACGTCAGGATCAAATGTAGGCATTGAGAGAGTTTTTCTCGACACCCCGAGGCAATTCTTTTTGAATTTCTTCGACATCAATTTAATCACAATGGAAAGCGTTTTAAGCGATAGATCGCTTGGCATTTGTTTCTGATACTATTACCATCTGTCATTGGTTCGACTATTGAAAACGGCGAAGAAATCTGATTTCAGTTTTTTCCACGCACTGTCAGGTACCACAAATAATCATCCTAACGAGTCGAGCGCTCTAATGGATTCAAGTTTTTTCAGTCGTGAATTATGCAACATTCGAAAATTGAATAATCTGTTAAATATTTGATTTTTGATCTAATTTCGAACAAAGAAAGTGAACTTGAGCAGGCTCATTTTGTTTTTCAAACAAGAGCATTTACCGCAAACAATTATTGAAATGGTTGGAGTGTGGTGTATCATAATGAAGCCCTTTCACCCCTGATTTGATCGAATTTTGAAAATTTTTTAAAGAATTGTTCCATTTTGAGAAAAATGTTGGCCCAGTTTGCCATTTTTACTGTGACTGCCAAATATTCCGAAGTTTTAGGCGTTCGCCAGATCATATTTGTCTCAGCACTCACAAAAAATTGACACAAATTTGAAAAAAAAAATTCTAATGTTTTTTTTTAAATGTGGTCGGAACATTCTGTGTTACTCGCACAGCAACCAGCTATCCTTGATTTTTTTGGTTTATGTTTAAGAGTTGAAAAATGAGAAAAAAAGAACAGATTTTCCTAAAACAGTAAATTTGGCACATGTTTATGATGAAGCAACGTTCACTTGAACCAATTGGTTCGACACTTGGCACACAATCAGTCATTAGAGTACGTTTGGATCGGCATGAAAAAACCTTTTACAGAGGGCGCTGAGAATAAAAACTACAAACGCCTTAGCGGTATCATTATGTCTTTAAATTCAAGAGCTGTTTTTTTTTGCTAAACGTTTTCAAGATGCCATTAAGTCAATTAACACAACATTGAAGAGTATCAATTGAGTTTTAAAATTTTTTTTGTCAAAACCACTCTCAAAAAGTGAGCAAAAATTATGGCAAGTGTGAATTTTTTCAAGCATTTTAGGTGCCTCAAAATGCATCAATGTGATTGCGAGAAAACGTGGTAGCATTTCAAACATGATTCGAAATCCAAACAAAAATAGTTTCTCTCAATGTCAAGAAAGTTGGTCTGATTTCATGAAAATCACAATAAGTCACCGCTGAACTGAGTGTATGTGATGGTTTAGGGGAAAACTGTATTTGTCATTTACTTTGTTTTGGCTAAGAAAATATCGTGTTGCCCTAGTTAGTATATGTCTAATTTTAACCAGATAACCAAAAATTGGACAAATACATTCAATAATTTCAACATTTCATAATTATACTTTTGCAATATTTCTTGTTTTATTTTTCAATATTAGTAAAATCTTTTTGTTTTTCTTATGAACTTTGTTGCCCTATTTATCAATTGAAAAATTAAAAGTTTTAGTTTGGATGAAGTTTCGTACTATTTTTCTAGAATGAAAAGAATCAATCATTTTTTTCTGTTTTCCTTTTTTCTGTTGGAGCAAACAGGAATTTTTAAAGATGGCTAAAAATTTTTTGTATTAAACTAAATACTAGTAGCGATTGGTTGAAGATCAAACAAAAAGAGAAAAATTATGAAGAACATTGAAAATGATTACTAGAAAGCCTTAAATTAAAAAAGCTAAGGAAAATTTTTCTCGGAACTGAAAAACATTTTCGGGATATTCCAGTGCAGCGTGCAGCTGGAATTAGCATTTTAAGGGCTTCTATCGATTGTTTCACTCTATCCTATACCGAATGTGTTACTTCATGTTAATTGAATTTAGGAGGAAAAAAACACCTTTGAATAAGTACTCCAGTAAAAAAAAATATTATTACTGAAGGCAACAGAAACAGTCATATCAAATACCGGAGAAAAACTCAAAAAAATCATTAGAGATTAGAACTGTTTCTAAAATTATTACCAATATTATTACCAAAAAATAGCTTGTATATCACAGCAAAGCCATGCGTTTTCCGAAGGTCTAACTGGTCTCAAATTGATTTTGGTAAAAATTTTTTGATAAAGCATTAAATTTGAAGTGTTTTTAAAAATGGTTGATAAAATTTGAGTTGCAGAGGGAACTCATATAACCAATTAGCTTACTATTTTGCAAATTTCAAAGCACCAGAACGCTTCTAAAACAGTTGCTGATTGTGAAATTGTTTTTTACATTTGAGCTCGTGGGAGAAAATATCTTCATCGGGATAAAATGTCATATCTAATCTTAAATCGCTGAAGTTAGACTGAAACAAACACCCCATTAAGCTAACGTATTCCCTACTTTTTTAAAAGTTCAGAAATAAACTTATGCATACTATGTGAAAGTCATTCATTCCACATTCAACGTGAAACACTTTCTTACCATACAATTTTTTGAAAATTAATTCTGGAAATGATCTCACGATAACACTTCGACTGAATTGCAACCATGGCATTGAAAAAAAAACGAAAGTTAGACTGCAATTGATAGATAATATTATCAATCAAATCAGCATAGTAATGTTTAGAAGCTTCCAAGAAAGGCTTGAGATTCGCAATTTTTTTCTAGGCTGCAGAAAAAAGTGTTTCTGCAACGGTCTCTCTGCACAGCAGTGAAAAAATAGCTGAAGTTTCATACCTCGTAAGGATTCACACTGTCGTACATGACCTCACTTGACCCGTACTTTTCCAAGGTCACAGCCGACTGACTCGCTATACTCGAGTCCTCCAGATTGTCCAGCGCATCTTCATAACTAGTGTACACTTCGTAATGACTCCGGTTGAATATGCCGGCTACTTTGAAAGTGTACTTCGTATCGAAGTCGTCTTTGCCCAGTCGGCTCGACCCGAGAACCAGTGATGAGAGTGGAAAGATTAGCAAGAAGTAAGCCGAGATCACTACTAGAATCTTATGTAAATTCGCGACTCTTAGGTCAAAAAATTTCACCTTCATTTTTCAAACAAAGTAAAGAAGATTGTTTTGAAGATTATATTTTAGTTTAACTTAGTAATAATTTTTATATTGAACTAATCTAAATCGCGAGTAGCAACTTTTTTCAAGAATTGTTAACCATGAATATGTAGTATCTGTCTTTTTCATCAGAATAAATTTGTAAATGAGCTATAATGGTAAAATATGTAAGTGTACAACAAGAATAAATTGTTCAGGGAGTAAAGTTTCATCTTTTTTGAAGATGAATTTCAGAATAAAGTCGCGCCTGGTTGCACCATAAGTAATCTACAACATTGGCTCGAATTATTCCACCCTTCCTTCTAATGTTTATTCGTCTAATTCCGGTGTAATTTGATAATAAAACAAATCATTTTATGAACTTCAGCTGATTTTCACCGCAACATTTGTGCGCGCGGGAGAACAAAAATTCATTAAGGCTTTTTTTGGGTGCGATAAAAACACAGCAGATAATTCTGCCAATTTAGCCGCGGGTTTATACTAAAATGAACAAAGCACAAAAAATACACCAACAAAAGTTCGCTGGAGCTGTGCGCTTTTTTGTTGAATATTTATTTGCAGAGAAAATATTGGATGAAAAATTTAAAAATAACCTCTAAGTCTGTGTATCGCAAGTAACTGTAACGGAATACTATTAAATGATGGCCACTCTGAACTTCGGTCGATTTAGTTCGCAAGTGAGACGTGTCTGTTATCTGGATGGTAAGTAATGGTAACCTGGTTATAATACCTCATTTTAGTTGTCATCTGGTCAATAAATCGATGCCGTCATTGCGCAATAAAAGTTCAGTCATCTTCCTCAGCGCATGCTAAATACTAAAACCAAAAAATAAATATTGAGTGTTTTTAAGGCGTCGTTTTTTTTTCAATACGCACTCTTAATAAGTTTAAGTAAAATGTGCACTTAAAATGGAAAGCTCCACATTTTGCTCCAAAACACAAAGCAATAAAATTTGGTTTCAGTTGGCGTGAAAAACTAATAGAGCGATATAAAAACGCGTTTAACAATGCACGAGATTTTTGTATGTTTAATCAAAAAGTGATGAAAAAGGGAAAAATGAGAGAAAGTTCAATTTGATAATGAAGAATTTTTTTGTTAAAAACATTGAAGGACGAATAAACATAACTTGGTTATTATAAACGGTTAATGCAAAAAAGTTATGGAGCCAATTTGAGGTATTTTGTTGTCTGTTACGGGAACGTTTCTGAAACTGTTTGTCTTTGATTGTCAAAATTTAAATTATGTCGAGAATAGTCGACTCAATCAAACCACGAAGAAAATTGTTGTAGTGTAAAATTTCAGCTTTCAAAACAATTTCCGAGCCTTGTTCAAAAGACATTTGAAGACCGCCATTTCGATGTTAAAAGGTTCCACTGAGTTAGGTTTAATTGGCCTTTCGCCCAAAAACAGCCAATGTCAGAAATTGGGTGGCAGCGTTGACTCAAGTTGCTGCTTAATTAGGGCCTTATTTTGGCATTAGGCTGTTTGTCTGGTGCAGACATGAAATTGCTGGACAATATTTTCGAACAAACTCCACCCCTTTATTCTAATCAGTTTGATCTGGAAAAGTTTATACGAGGAATGAAAACCAATAAAAATTCAACCTTTTCTCTTTACCATATAAGCGGCGTAACTTGAGATTATTATCATTACAACGCTATGTAAATTAGACAATTTTTGGGGATATTCACAACCTGTTCTGAAAATTATTCTGCATAAACTGCCATAATCTGTTTTGATAATCGAACAGTTTTTTCGGGCTCGGTTGTAAAGTAGTTCAGAAAATGTGATCAAATTAATTTGATCTGGATTATTTGGATCAAAAGTTATAGCTACAGCCGTGTATCTGTGCTTTCGCTTTTATAAATTTAGAACGGGAAATCTTTATTATTTTTTGGTTTAACTGGCTTTGAAATTGGCGTTGGTGAAATAATCCGGGCTAAATAAACCTGGCATGGGCGATTTAGTTTTGAATTTTAGACGCCCTTTGTTGAATGTTTATGCATACATCGGCGACTGCTTTATTCTGCTGATTTACTATTTGATTGGGTTAAAGAAAAAGAGATGGAACAGACAGGTTGAGATCTCAAAGGTCGAAATGTGAAAGGTTGTTTTTCTCATCTAGTTGATTTTTTGAGGGTTGCGGTTATTTTGAAAAATGTGTTTTTACTTAAAAAGATGGACACCGCGTTTTTATTATACCCTAATTCGTTTAATAAAAAAATCTCGCTCCCATTAATACAGCGCCCACCTTCTGTACCCTTTTAAAGCGTGATTGAACATTAACTAAGGTCCAACGACTAAAAATACCTCAAAGCGTAATACACAAAGCAAAACAAAATCTGCAACCGATGTGTCATAAAATATTAATGCAGTTACGGGTAATGTAAATTTTTGATTTTTGTTGACTCAGAGATCATAAAAACTACAAAATAAACAAAACTGCTCGTATCAGGGCGAAGCCCTGAATGTTCCGACTGCCTTTTAAGTTTTATGGAGCAGTAATAACAAAAAAATTAAATGTAATAAAACAAAATAAAAATTTTTTTTCTAAAATTTCAAATTTTTTTTTTAAATCATCCCCCACACGTCATAATAAGTACTAAGTGATAAATTTTGCTCCTATTAACAACTCAATTATGGCATAGAAGCTTCCTTGAACCAATTTGGAACGATTTCTAAGACGGATTAAATCTCGCTTACGCGTTAATAGCGCGAAATATATCGCGCGTTAATTGTCCCAAATTGGCCAAAATGGCAATCTTTGAACCCCCATAACTTTACGAAAAATGATGAAAGGTGAAATATCTTTTCAAATTTAAGCTCAGGACAACAAAACCTTTTGAATGATATAAAAAAAAATTTTGTCAAAAAAGGCTAGTTAAAAAGTCGAAATTTGTCTGAAGAAAAAAAAACCCACCCCGAGCACAAATTTTCCGTTACTTTTGTATCGAAAGTCGGAACAAATACCATGCAAAATTAGTTTCCTGAATTTCAAAATCATGCTATCATCCCAGTCCACACATTAGCTTAAAACAAATGTTTCCGCGGAGAGAAAAAATTTGTCGAGAGCGACAATTGGTCCGAAATATAAACAAGACTGCTCGTATCAAGGCGAAGCCCTGAATATTCCGACTGCCTTTTAAGGTTTTATGGTGCAGTAATAACATTATAAAATTAATTGTAATAAAATAAAATGAAATTTTGTTTTCTAAAATTTGAAATTTTTTATGAAAATCATCCCCCCACACGCCATTTGTACAAATGGATAGAGTTCGCTCATTGTAACAAATCAATTATGGCAATTAAGTTTCTTTCAACCGATTTGTAACAATTTTTAAGAGGGATTAAATCTCGCTTACGCGTTAATAGCGTGAAATATAACGCGCGCGTTAACTGTCCCAAATTGGCCGAAATGGCGATCTTTAAACCCCCATAACTTTACGAACAATGATCACAGGTGAGATATTTTTTCAAATTTAAGCTCAGGACAACAAAACTTTTTGAATGATATAAAAAAATTTTGTCAAAAATTGCTAGTTAAAAAGTCGAAATTTGTCTGAAGAAAAAAAAAACCCCACTCCGAGCACAAATATTCCGTTAATTTCGTATCGAAATCCGGAACAAAAAATCGTAGGTTATTGAAACGAAAATTGGTTGAAAATAGGCGTTACAACGTAAAAATGAACTGGTAATTGATTTGGCAAAACTGAGCAACCAATAGGTCATTATTGAGCATAACAATGGCATAACTAATGACAAGACTGCTCGTAGCAGGGCGAAGCCCTGAATGTTCCGACAGCCTTTTAAGGTTTTATGGAGCAGTAATAACATTAAAAAATTAAATGAAAGAAAATAAATTGAAATTTTGTTTTCTAAAATTTGAAATTTTTTATGAAAATCATCCCCCCACACGCCATTTGAAGTACAAATGGATAGAGTTTGCTCATTGTAACAAATCAATTATGGCAATTAAGCTTCTTTCAACCAATTTGGAACGATTTTAAGTTCTCCGCTTGCGCGTTAACAGCGCGAAATATATCGCGCGTTAATTGTCCCAAATTGGCCAAAATGGCAATCTTTAAACCTTCATAACTTTACGAAAATTGATCACAGGTAAAATATCTTTTCAAATTCAAGTTCAGGACAACAATAGGTTTCGAATGATATAAAAAAATTCCCTCAAAAATGGCTCGTTAAAAAGTCGAAATTTGTCTGAAGAAAAAAAAACCACCCCGAGCACAAATATTCCGTTACTTTCGTATCGAAAGTCGGAACAGTAACTGAATCAACATTCGACAAATAGTCATTTTTTGTATATTGGACGAACTGTCGCTTCTCGAACAGTTGGTCAAATATGATAGGTAATTAAGTATCGTCAGATCAATTTGCCATTGCTTTCGCAGTTTTACACTATTTTAAGCCTTCTCCTTGTAGAACGTTTTAGTTGTATAATGTACCATTTGAAGCATAAAATGTATAATAAAAAACACCGCCATTCCGAAAAACAAAAAAGTTTTCAAAATAATCAAGATACTTTTTCAAAAACCGCTGTTGTTATAAATTTTTATGACACGTCCTATGACCGCCAAAACATAACCGGTAGCCATATATGTTGAAACACGGCGTATTGGTGCAATTAAAAAAATACTCGATCTAAGGCATAAGGCTCGTCGAGTGACCGAATGTCGTCTTAGAAAAAATTGAAAAGATAGGTAGCCGCATATTTATGGGGACTCCCGGCCCATCAGGACCCCCTCTCATGAATTCGACCCTCTCGCAGCAAAAAGGATCCCCACTTTAGTACTATTGCACCACAACCTTTTTCAAAAATTAGAAAAATTCTACAAAATACGTTCTTGTATTTTTTTCAAAGAGATAGGAAAATCAAGGAGAAAGAGCTCTCAACAGCTTTAAAATTCAGTATTTTGTTCGGCAGTTTTTTTGTTTGATAATCCTCTGCTCTAGCTGCTCTGTAAAAATATCTAATTCAAATTCGAAGTCTCGATCAAAATGGGGTAAAATCTTGTCTCGACAGAATTTTACGGCATTTTAAATTTGTTTCTGAATTTGAACAGAGCTGATTTTTCAATCTTTAGGTGACATTGATTTTAATTCCAAGAATTACGCAAATGACGGGTTTTTCAACTGCTTTTTAACATGTGATAAAAATTTTGATCCAGAATTTTTCTAATCATTGTTCATGCAATCTTCAGAATACATAATCTTGCATACGATGCGATAGAAAACTGGTCTTATCATGTCGAAAGATCTCATTGAATTTAAGTTTCTATACACTATTAAAATGGAATTCTGATGATTTTTGGTTTGATTGAAAAAGCGCCAATGCGTTGGATTTAATAGGTTAATCAATGAAAAGATGGCGCTTATGTAAACCAAAAGTTAACAAGTTAACTATCTCCATACCTCTATAAGAATGATTGCAAGTGATCGTTTGTTAGGAATCAATGCCCTAGTATTTTTAGAATGCAAATCTTGCAAGATTCTTGCAAAGAAATGTCAGTTTTGTCTCATGGAAAATTATTATCATTTTGAAATTAGATTTAGAATGACTTTTTAGTCGGATTTCAAAAAATGATAATTCGTTTGGGTTTTATAGGTTAGTCAATAAAAAGGCGCATATGTTAGTCTAAAAACAACAAATTGAACGCCAACATATCTCTATAAAATGAAATTAATGCCCCTATTTTATTGGAACGCAAATCGTGCAAAATTCTGCGTCTCACAAAAAACTAATATCAGTTCAAAAATCGACGTTAATTGTTTTTAGTCATTAAAAGGGCACAT